CCTCGTTTCAGATTAACTATAGCCCTCTCGACTTCAGCAAGAGTTGGGGGACCTACTTCAATGTTCCATTCACACTGTCTGGGAATGGAGGGTAGTTGTAGAGTAGCTGAAGGCCAGCTGAACTGTTCTCTGAAATGTTCCGCCCATCGTTCTAAACGTCTGGACTGAGAGCAGATGAGGGTGTCGTCTTTTTCCGAAACAGTCTGACTTACACTTGACTTATTAATTTCAGTTTCTTTTATTAGTCTGTAGGGCTGTCTTGTGTGTCCCTATAGCCGCCGCCTTTTCCATCTCTTTTGCTTTTGTTGCCCACCACTGCTCACGGTCGTCCCTTAGACTTTTGGTTAACCTAGATCTGATTTGTTTTCGCTCTTCATGGTGTTCAGAGCCTAATGGGATGAGTTTACGAGAATCCATCAGTGCAACAGACCTTGAGGAAATCCATTGGTTCTTTGTAACCCTGTGGTTTAAATCACTGATAGATAACACTGCTGTTTCCACAGCTGTTTGTATATCTTTCCAAGCAACATCTGGGCCAGCATCGTTTTCAGAACTACCTAAGTGTGACCTCAGTTGTTCCTGGAACCTACTTTTGGTTTTCTCGTAACTCAATTCAGTTCTAATGGGGCTTTTCTGCGTCCAGTGAGGCGCAAGCAGATGCGTGCCCGAATTAGGGCATGGTCGGAGTTCAAACAGGTACTCCAGAATGAGCGACAATCTTCTACCGACCCTCACCAACGATGACTGATGCCAATATGGTTTACTTGAGTCCATCGTTTGTTTGATGTATGAGGCCGTCATATTTATGCTTAAAATTTGTTTGCTAAAAATAAACGATTGTCTGAGCACAATTGCAGCAGACGATCACCATTATCTGTTCGCTGTGTCGGAATACTAAAATACCCACCCAAATGCCTTTCTGTTTGGTTTAAACTACCTATCTGGGCATTAAAGTCACCTACTACGAGTACTATGTCTGAACGTTTAGCTTTCTGTAAAATTCATCTTTCACTTCATCTGAGCTGCAGTCGGTGGGAGCGTAGGCAGAAACGACAAAAGGGCAATGACGTGTGTCTCTATCCTTCCGAGTTCTTACGGAGCCGTTTAGCCGAACAGCACATAAACAACTGTCAACGGGGATCCACTCTAACAGTGCTTGTTCCGCCCTCATGCTTAGTGTTATGCCTACACCTGCCAGTCCACAAGAACTGGCCATCGGGTCACCAGATACACGGAGGGTGTATCTCATTGGCTCTCCGTTTTGCCGAGGTGAGGTCAAGTGAATGACCACACTGGGATCCTGTATGAGTGTTTCAGAGACACAGCATACATCAATCGTACGAGATTCTAGGGTTCTAACCAAGGAAGCCTGCTGACCGATTTGACATAGGGTTCGTACGTTGAAGGCACCGATGTGTAGTTTGGAGCAAGGTTCCAGTAGACCTGGGACAGTGTTTTGAGCACTAGAATCGTTGGCTATGGTGACACTTGAGGAGGAAGCCGAAAGAGGAAATTTAGAGTTGAAAGTCGATGTAGGAGGAATAATAGGAATTGAAGACGGAGGTTGATTATGAATAGAGTGGTCTTGAGTGCTGTTAGAGGTGTGAGGGCGGTTATCACTCTCCGGTTTCCCACACTGTGGAAGGTTTTTCCTGGAGGTACCTGGAAAGGAAATTGGATTAGAGGTGGTCTTAGTGACCTGAGAGTGTGACCGCAATATCCAAGGTACAAGTACTTGAGGTCGGTCATATACAACCTTTTTGTGTGTAATGTTCGTGTCATTTTCGTTCATTACTTGTTGGGACCTTACCACCGGAGACGGATATTCGTGGGATAGGGCGATGTGTGCATCTTTGGGGTCAACCTTTTCTAACCCCACCCCTCCTTATGGGAAAGCAGCACCGCTGTCATGCTGGTTGTCTGAAGGGAACACCTTACTGCCGTCACACCTCTGTACAAACAGTAGTACGAATTCGCCTTTGAACCTTGGGTTTGTTGCTTTTAGTCTTACCACTGTTCAACCAACCTGTCTGACATGGTAGAACCTTGCGGAACGATTGTTCCAGCCAGTATAGCTCGATCGGTTCATCACGATAGGCAAGCCCGACCACCACGTTAAGGTAGCAACAGCGGTCGGGTGTATCATGGATGAGATGGTAACTGATAGAAGGACGTAAGATGACAGATATGGTACTTTGTGAATTTAACAACGTTCAATAAGATATGAATCGCTGAATCCAAATACAATAACTAAAAGACAATGATGCGAAATTTCAAACCAAATAGGAAACAATTATTAAGTGCTATTTTGTTTTTAATGGTTCTGTGACGGGAATCAATTCATGACTCAATTGCTTTAAAGAATAATATAAATATCTCCAAACAACCACTAAACTTTTAATGCACCGGGATTGTGTTAACGCATTTTTAATATATACTGATATATATTTACAATAATAACGAGATATTATCTGTATGACACCTTACTTACTTACTTACGCCTGGTACTCCTCTTGGAGGAGGATAGGCCGCCCACCAGCACTCGCCATCCAACACTGTACTAGGCAATCCTTTCCAGCTCCTTCCAGTTGTTATTCATCCTTTTCATATATGATTCTATTTCCCGAGGTAATGTGTTCTGTGGTCTTCCTCTTCCTCGCTTCCCTTCAGGATTTCAAGTTATGGTTTGCCTTGTCGTGCGGTTTGATGATTTGCGTGATGTATGTCCTATCGATTTCCATCGTCTTTTCCTAATTTCCTCTTCAGCTGGAAGCTGGTTTGTTCTCTCCCACAGAAGGCTGTTGCTGATGATATTCGGCCGCACCAGTCTGTCATAATTATTGTTTGGTTCTAACCAATAAAGGCAGATCAATAAAATAAAAGTATCGTTTTCTTGTACATCGAATTTCTGATGTTATTTGCAAATATCACCTATTTATAAACACTTTCGTCACTCTGGTTAGTTTATAAATAGGCCACTATCTGAATATTTGGGTGAACAAAGCTTGATCATTGTTTGGTTTTAAAGGAAAATGATTCGGTAGGAAATTTACCAAATGGATAATACTTTGCAAATGAATACATATATTAATGAAATCCTCCTTTTTACATGTTTCTTCAAAATCATTGTCCAATAAAAGTATGGGTAAAATATTTGTTTGAACCTTCTACCATATTGTGTATGAGATTCACAACGTATATTAATCAGTCATTTTATATAAACAATTGTTTAGGCCTTTAAACTTTCTTGATTTTAAAATATTCTTTTGGTAATACTATCTATAGATGAAAATTATGCTTATATTCTCCAGTACTTCGACAAACAGTTGATACGTTTCTAATTAATGACTGCATTTAAAGCAAGCACAGTAACACGATGATCACATACCGTATTCATAAACGAGTCCAATTCACATATTTTGTTTACATTTTCATTGATCGCCTAATGCACTCTTGCCCGTTTTGACGTAGTCAAAGTATTCATGTATTCATAAATTGCCATCATTGTGTTTGAAGACATCACTTTGTGATGAACGGGAATACAGTTGGGGATGTATTAAAACACAAAATTACAGAATCTCTTGGTAAAATCTGAGAACCATACGATTAATACTTCATTTGCAAAATGTTCATTATTTCTCTCAAACTTTATTGTTCCTTTATTTCCACACCAATCATTCGCTGTTCTCGTTCTTTTTTCTTTGATGTTCTTAATATTCTACCTCCAGGCATTTCACTTTCGGATGATGATACATATTACTTATATCTGTCGACATCAGTAGCACACACCACAATTTTAACATGCATAGTAGTTCCATAGAATACTTTAAAAATAATTTAGACATTAACACCGTTGGATGCCGGCCAACCCAGTGGTCTAGTGGTTAAGCGCTCGCGCGCGAGACTAACATGTCCTGGGTTCAAATTCCGCGGGGCGTGGTCGTGAATGCGCACTGCTTAGGAGTCTGTTGTGTCCGGTCGTCGCAAATGTTGTGACAGAAAATCGTTGATCACTTATACTCGGAACGAGGGACCTCCGCAATTCCCACGATGTGAAAGTAAGAACAAAAAGACTGGTATAAGTGATGATTTATTAGCCCCAAAACACGACGACGACGATGATCAAAATAGTCTAAAATACACTGGTTTATATATTGATTTTACACCCATTTTTGATTAATAATTAGAATAAAATCTCATATATGAAAAATACTTAGAGTTATAACAAATCACATACTGAATATAGTTCATGTGCATTGGATACAAGAATATCGTATATTATACAGAATAAAATATCATACAACAAAAGAAAACAAATACTACATTGAGTAATCATTACATTGAATTAGAAGGGAAGTAATGTTGGACAAAACTCATAATAAGTCAATCAATCGAAAACTGATTTTTCTTCCCATTATATCAGAGTCCCACAATAGGACGAAACGGCCGTTCAGTGCTTTCAGGTTTTCCATAGTGGTCTAGCTTCAATTGACTCATGATATCAGACATTGAAGATTTAAAATTATTACCTCATAACTTTGAAGATCAATAATCTGAAATTATGTTCAGTTAAAAAAGGTGTTCATATTATTTAGAATTACATAATATGTATTATTTTACATCATGTATTTTTCTAACTTGACTCCCTTCAAAATTGATTGGGGGATAATGAAAAAAAAGTACTATTTTTAAATATTAAACGAGTAATTATCTGTTTATTTCTATTCCCGTAAAATGATAATCCATAGTGCAGTATATTCTGAACAGAATATGACCTTAATTTAATATAATAAACTGATACATGTTTTAATTGTGCATATATGATCTTGATATTAAAAATCATGTGAGAAGTTCGTGCTTTTTTGATTGTTTATGAAGTGATATTAAATTCAATAGTAAATGACAAATGAAATCACATTTATTTTATTGTTTAAATAAAAAGTTGTCACTTTTTATTTCAGACAGACAAATGTGTAACTAACTTATTGTATTTGAAAAAAATGTATTTAACATTATTAAATCAATATTCATGTGAACTACAAGCAGTTATTTTATTGTCCATATGCTTAGGAACATTTTTTATAGGAGCATTATTAATCTATTTAGTTACACTATCTCAAAGAAGACGAAAAAAAGGAAATGTAGATGAAGAAAATCTTCGAAAATTGTTACGATTTAAGAATTCATTATGGTTGTTAAAATCTGCTAAAGCTACATTAGCTGGAAAAAATGCATTTGGAAGATTTCTGGTATGTTTACACTCATAATTTTCTTTTAAGTTGCTCATTTTATTTTCATTGATGTCACTGGCAATACTAAGTAATATTCCTATAAGTACAGAGTTGTGGAAATTGTTGAGTTTTTTTATTAAGATCATTGTTAGACCATAAAAAATAAAAAAGCTCTACAATTTCCACAACCCTGTACCGATGACTATCATGTGCTCACTAGTGACTAGCTCCGAGAGAGAATCCTTGGAGTTCTAGTGAGAAGCTGAGACTGGTAGAGTCAACTGTGTCGAGTGTGAGACATTTGCCCACCAAAGTTAATGGAAGATGATCGCACAATACAGTGGATTGGTTGAAGTCAGACATTAACACAGTTGGATACCGGCCCAATGGTCGAGAGATTAAGCGTTTGTGAAGGTTCTGAGTTTGAGTCCCGCATAAGGGATCGTGGATGTGCACTACTGAGGTGTCCAATACCGGAACAAAACGGTTGTCCAGTATTTCTAAGTTTTCAATGGTGATCAATTCATGACCTCAATAAAACAATATTCCTATGACAAATTACATTTGTCTATTGTATTCTAACATAGAAAACTTCATTTGATGTGTATTAGATCAAACTAAACATGTTTTATTAACGAACACTGGTCGTCAGAAAATAGTTGTTCTCAAAACTAATGAGCATAAAGTGTAAAGTGTTATCTCCTCTCACATTATCTAAATTATTAAGTTGTACTGAATGTCACTAGTCTTGTATTTATAGACTGTTTTCATCTTGAATTGCTATCAAAAGATGAACGGATGAAAACGACAGAATATAGAACAAATTATATATACTTTTTTAATACCCTAGAATGCTGATCTCTACCCGTTCCTCTTAAGATTAAACCGAAGATCTTGATATTTTGTGATAAGTGTATAGATGTTAGGAATCAGTGAATAAATGGGAATATGAACCATTTGCAGTTATTTCCTAGTGAATCCATTTTTATATTTTTGTTGTTCATTTATTGAATGATTGCTTCATATTACTTTCATATTGTTCGAATTTTAAACTTACATATAAAGCATTCACTGTCGTTATACATTTTATCTTCTATATTCAATTGACATAAATGTTGTGGCCCTGGACATTCTGAGATTTATTATTTATGGTACATTTTAATGTTATATTTTATGCATGGACTGTGAAAGGAATCATATGATAACAGATAAGTGGATTAACTACTTTTTCAAATTATAATTACATGAAATAGATTCAGGAAGTACTTTTTATGTAACTGGTTTATGATTCACTATGTTTATTGATCAAAATTTTTAGTATATGGTTGTGGAGATTATTGTTTTTTTTAAGGAAATCATGAACTGATCAATATTAAACCACCACTAAAAATTTGGGTGCAGTAGATGGTTGTTTGATCGTAGTATGTGACTCCTCGGTAGTGCACATACACGTTATAAATTCACCGTGTTCCCTTCATAAGAATGATCATAGTAGAGATGTACTCATCATTAGTGAACAGAATGTTTGAGTTTAACTGGTTTTTAGATGATCATAATCGTGGTTAAATTAGAATATGTAAATTGTACTTAGTAGGTAAACTGGTTCATTCTTATAAAATTTGTGTTATTTTTCTGATTTTAGATACTATCAAGAACTTTATCAGGTTTACTTTGTATGTGCATATACTTATGGAATGCACATCAGTAGGTTTGAATATTCCCAGTTATTTATTTCTTATTTTCCAGGATTTTATCAGAAAATACTTTCTGTATCGCTTTCACAGAACAATGGAGATTCTATGTAGAAATGAGCTGTAATTGTATCTTTCTCATCATGTTTATTTTACGAGTAATTTGCATATAATATTCTTTTTTTTTAATGAGTTTTCGTATTTAACGGAAAAATTCTAAACATACGTGTATAGGCTATCGCATCTAATGATTTATTCACAACATGGATGTCACTGTACTCTCTGATTGATCATTGCACTATACTCTCAACTTTTTCAACATTTGTTACGGGACGTTATCATTTCAGTAAGTTACCTTAAGTGATTTTAAAGATTCTAACAAAATGTTTAACAGTCTTGGTATTTACTAGAATATATTCTTGAGATATTTCTGACATATCAGATCTTCTGTAGTTGTACTGGAGTTCCAACTTTACTTGGGGTTACGTTTCCATTGACATAAATATTAAAGGGTTATTCACTGGACTACTAGTCCAAAAGAGATACTTATTAGGCTATGTGTATTCCCATTTTATCCATGTTTGATAGTTACCCCATAATCAACATCGTTTTAAGTGCTGACATGTTCATTTGATGAATATTAAAAAGTTAGAAAAAAGCCTGAAGAGTTTCATTGTTAATAATCAACATGTTTGTTGGTTTACTCGTAATTACTGATAGCATGAATGTATCCGAAACACTAATTCACTCTAGTCTAGTCAGTAATATATAAAAGTGGAGTCCACTATCCATCTTTACTTAGAAAGCTTATGACTCAAGGCTATATCGAAATAATCCGCACAGGTTACATATATACCGACAAGAGACTGATCAGTTGCAGTCCTAAATAACAATCGGAAGATATAAGTAAAACAACACCAAATGAATTATTGTTATTTATTAATTATTTTAATTATTTTCTCTTCCCCCCTTTTTTTTCTTATTAGTGCTTGGATTTCTGTATTTCGCTAGACTGACAAAAATTCCTGAATCATTAGTATTATTAAGAATTATAAATCATGAACGTTCTATACGTATAGTAGATTTAATATTTAAACTCTTGGCTGCATGGACTGTTATAGCTGGTATTGCATTTGTTGTAAGTTATATTAATGATGATAATCATAGTTTTATGAGCTATTTTGTTTCACAATTTGACAATAATAAAAGTTAATGAAAAGGGAAGATATGGTAGAATGTTTTGGAAAAAAACTGTATACAATACATAAATATATTTTTAAGTACCTAAGATATATAGACAAAGAAACCCACTGTTCAATTGGAAAACAAGGAAATTGAATTGAAAGTGAGTAATCACATCTGAATGATAATTTTGGATACTGAGTAAGAAAAATGCCAGGAGAGTGTTAAGACCATGGTAAAATGAGAAATTAAGCATGAAGTTTTTGTAAATAGTGTTTAATCTTGAATTCTTAATTGCTAAAGCTTCTGGAGTGTATGTTTTTATTACATGCTCCATTTGAACCCACCCGTTTGAATGTGTAGATGATTTAGAAAGATCATTTTATCGGAGTGACGCAAATAGAATGCATGAGATGTTCCTCAATAAAGTTGTTGGTTCTTTTGCACCCTTCTTTCAAAAATCTAATCTCCTAACCATATGAGATGCTTTTAGAAAATGTCTTTCATGTACAAGAGATGCAATCCTCATAGGTGTATATTTATGTAACTTAAAGAAATTTACATTTGAATCATTCACAAATGATAGACTGACCGAAAAAAAATAATACGAAGCTTTTCGAAACAGAAAGTTTTTCGAAGTGCTTGAGGTTCAGCTTTCAAGATTTCTGGTGCAGTATCCCTTTTATAGTCGATACTCATATAGAAGGTCTTTTTCGGTTTTGAATAGGACTTTTTACGTTGTGATTTGTCTCCAGTTTACTGTCAGTAAATTTGACAGGGCAGTCATTTTTTGATGGGTATTCGGATAGTTTATATAACTTGTCTTCATCGACAAATTTTCTTCTGGCCCTCAAGTATAAAGAGTGAGCCATGCTCTTTGTCCTGCTCAACAGGACTCAAATATGAAAACTCGTATATAATTTATTTCAAGTCGGTTTACTATATACATTTGAATTTCTTCATTGACTCTTCTGGTTTGTTTTTCATTAGAACACTAAGAAGATGTAATTCCGAGATTGCCTCTTATTCTAGTGTGAGCTCGATAGATTGGTGGTAGCTACTCAACACGACCAACATGATAATGAAATCTCTATTTTTATTCCAGATTATAAAGTTGTCATCCATACATCTCATATATAAATTAAAGCTGTCTATTTTCGGTCAAAGTAATTTATTTTGCAGATTGGTCATAAGACAGTTGAAACAGGTCCCAGAGGTGACATCTTTGAAACTCTACAAGTTTGTCTACAAAATCTCTAAACGGTTTGAAATGAAAACAGCCGTTCTGCTTCTTGATGATCATAGTTTTAATTATTAAGGATACCACTTTGTTTCTGCAGACAAAAAATATTTTCCCACGTTGTATTAGGACCTGTTCCATTTATAAACAGGCATATGTCGTTCAGGCTATTATCTATTTATAATTAAATTATTACTAATAAGTTCCATTCCTGAATCCTTCTTGCTACCAGGTATTGAGAATCTCAGTCATTTAGTATCTTCGATTATCACGTTATTCCCTCTGTATATCTTGTAGCTTGAACACGTAGGTAATTTTTGGACCACAGAAGCTAACAATCAAAAACTTGAATATTTGGATTGCCTATACATGATCCTTGTAACATTGGCTACCGTTGGTTATGGAGATATTGTATGTACAAGTTACTTAGGTCGTATTTTCATTATATTCGTTATTATTGGAACACTTGTAAGTTTACGCCTATATAATTAATTATTGCTATATATACTTATAAAAAAACCATTTATAGAATAAAGTTGATTCATTAGTATATATTTGGGAACATACCTAGCTTGAAAATGTTAACCAAAATACCATTGAAATCATTACCTTCAATAGCCTAAGCTTAGAGAGCAGCAAGTTCATTTATCAAAATTACTTATCTAAAATTAAACCATAATATTCTTACTGATTAAATTACATTCTGATAAATGAACTAATAAATAAACTTTAAGAGAGATATCTATTTGACACAAGTCAATGGGTTGATATCTTCTACTGTACTAACAGATTAAAATGGAACTGATTTTTACGGCACAAGTACCGTATAACTTGAAAAAAATCACACTGATTGTAATAATTATATATCATTCCTCAAAGCCCCGTTAAGTTGACCCTCTCTAAGACATAATTACTTTGATTTCTCATTTTCGTAAAAAGATTAAATGTCAGGTTTTGATTTTAACTGATACTAAAGCTGAATTTCATTTACAAAATAGGTATCAGTAACAACACATATGTCAGAACTTAGTGAATTATTTAAACAACATAACCAATATAACAAAGCGATTTATATGGAACACAATCCAAGGTGAGTACATTTATGAAACTGTATTAAAGTACTAAGTGTTTATGAGGTGAATTTGATTGATCTAATCAAGAAATCAGTAGTTGATGAAAATTTTAATTGAACGATTATATGAAATAAACAAGGAATATTGTCTCCGATAAGTTCCCGTCAGGTTCGGCAGTTATAAATCCAATTTTAAGACAAATAAATCTTTCAGAATTACGAAAATAAAACAAAACAGTCAAGGCAGTAAATAAACAGTTGCCATGTATACATTTACCATTTAAAGATGTACCCAACAAAATTGTAATACGTAGGTTACATAGGGCAAGTTTCGTGATTAACAGGCCAGATTCCATATGAATCAATCGTGCATAGACCGAATAGCGAAACTACGGATCACTGCTAAGCAATTAATTGAATGGAATTCGTCACCATACATCAGTTTCCGTGACTGCTAGAAAGCGTCTGACAGCGTTGATAGGAGAACTTTACGGGACCTTTTTTGAAACTGTGACGTGAGTAGCTAACTGGCTGATAAAATAATTATTATTATTCATTATATGTGAAAAGTATATTTGAAATAATCTCAGCGATTGAAATTTAAATAATTCCAACGTTTCGTCCAACTAACTTGTCTGAACTTCTTCAGGGTAATAATCAAAAGGAGTCCAGACAAGTTAGTTGGACGAAACGTTGGAATTATTTAAGTTTCAATTGCTGAAATTATTTCAAATATAGTTTTCACATATAATGACTTATCTATACTCGACGCCCGATTTCTGTCAAACTATTAGTCCTAATCTTGACGAATATTCGTATGGATTATTATTTTTGTCTGTAGATAGCAAACAACAGAATGGAAACCACAAAATAAATGAATTGGTTTTATTCTGCCACGTTTCTTGTTCTTGCTTTAGACAAATTTATGAATGAAGAGAAAAAGTGTATGAAATTTTATGTATCCATTCTCTTCATGACTACTCAACATTCTTGGTTGTAAGTTATGTAACAATTAAGTGATAGGTTAAACATTAGCATAGCTGAATCCTGGCTCGGTGGTCTAGAGGTTAGGCGTTTACGCGAGACTAAAGGTCCTAGGTTCGAGTCCTGAGAGCAGGATAATGGATGAGCGCTACTGTGGAGTCTCATATTGAGACGAAACGGCCGTCCAATGTTTCCAGGTTTTTCATGGAGGTCTAGCTTAAATCGACTCATGAATTCAACTATTAAGTGATAGGCGTTGTGTACGATATTTTATTACAGCACGTTTGTTTCTGGTAGATAAACTAGTATCTATTTTAGCATTAAGTGCTTATCGATCTAAACTCGAAAAAGAACCTATATATATATGTTTAATTGGCCTTCATGTTTCAGTGTTGATTTATATTAAAAACAAGTGAAAGCAAGTGATTAATTAATGAAGTATAATTAAATTGTCACATGTTGACCTATTTGACCTAACATTTACTCACGGTACATCAGACTGAAGAAGCTTTGTTGAGATAACCCTGTTATTTTTGTTATTAATTTAGTACCTACCACATAATTAATTTAATTAGCTTATAACTGATTGAGTGATGATTAATTGTTCTACCAATTAGACTTATTTTCATCTAACCATCATGATTATCATTTCATTCTAATCTTGTTGTTTCAGTGGGTTTTCTATTGGGTAGGTGATAGAAAACTCGCAATGTTTAGTAACACCGTTAGTATTAAACTGTGTTGAAGTTAGTACATAAACACGTTTACATCAATTTGAAATTAAATATTTTTGATAGTAGCCAAGGTAAATGTTATAAATCAGACAAAAAACCTTCATCAGATAGTTATAAAATCTAATCTGACTCTAGATCTTAGTCAGGTGGTTATTTAATTGATTAATATCAGCCTCTAGGTTCAGTGTCCAAACTCAAATATTTTCAAACATAATTTTTATAACAAAATGATATGATTTGGAGAATCAGTGAAAACCAGGGAATATTTGGTAGATGTTTCATACTAGTTTGTAGTTGCTGAACCATGCGCAGTCAGGGCCACAAATATGATTGTATCCAGGATTTTTAAGTTTAGCAATAATTGTGATACTTTCAGACCAATCGATAGGAAGTCAAAAATCTACGTCTATATGTCACACTGTTCTGTTGAAAGTTCAGTAATTTATATCTAAGTCATTGGTGAATACATGGTTATACAGATGGATGATTTGTATTCACTTTGATTTCCTACAAATCTCCTGGTTTTCAATGATTCTCCGGTTTAAAATACCTCGTTTTGAAAACTATTATCAGACTATACAAATATCCGCAAACCATCTTACATAGAGAATGATTTTGTCTGATACACAAACTCTGGTACAAATATCACATTGTTAGGCAATGAAAGTTTTTTTAAATTAGACCATATAGCATTGATTTCATTGTATATACAAGTAACTAAATGTGTAGTTATATGTACAGTTAAGACATTACTACTCAAACATTTTTTAAGCTCATATATTTATTCATTGACAACCACTGGGTAGCTGTATTTTCATTGTGTAATTTCCACTCTGTTAACTAAATAAATGGCGGTGCTTTATTCGCTAAATGTTTACTTCTACTTTTAATATATGTTAAATATTTTCTTTAAATAAAGTCTCAATCCGTTGACCTGCATACTTTCAATTTTAAAGCTATTTATCAAGATTGATTGTTAGTCGCTTATCTTCGTAGCCCCTTAATTGAACAAGGATTCAAATAAAGAAAACAAGTAGTGACTGATGTAACAAGTTTTCTAGCGTTCTTAAAATGTTATCGAATAAATGACTATACGGTATGACACTCAATATTTCAGTTTTTATGATTAGTCTCAGTTATCATGAAGAAACACTACCTGGACATTATGAGGTTTATGAACGTTAATGCTATTAGTTAAATACCGATATTATTGGTGGTTCTAATTCTTGTTTGTTTATTTATTTAACGAGATAATTGTTTCTTTCCCTTTTATGACATATAGTTACGTCACCTTTTTTTAGCGTATAAACTTTGTAGTGATAGGACGGCCGGATCACACAGTTATAACCACCGTGTCTAATTACCTATATATTTACAAATGAAAATGAATTAAACACTTACATAGGATTGCATGAATAATATATTTCCTAACAAATAAAGGTACTATTAAAGAGTTCTACCTAGGTAAAACTAAAGTGTTAGTCATTTTGTGAGTATCTACAGAGCTGAGTAACAGCGGTATTAACCATATATACAGATAGATAAACTTTTTGAAAAGTCCATACTTCAGTTAGAAATAAAATGACTTTTATCGGATAGTTGGTGAATTTTGAACTTGATTAAAACTTTAGATATTGAACTGGTGCACTATGATATTGACTTCCACGTACTTTTCACTTCTCAGGCACATAGTTGTATGTGGATCAATAAACTACCATACACTTTCAATATTTTTTGATGAATATGTGAATGCCGATCAAGGCCATTATGATGAAAACATGATGATTGTCATCCTGTCAGAGTAAGTTAAATTGTGAAAATGTTGTTCATTGACTTCCTGGTTCGCTCTTTTAAATTAAAGTCTCCAGAATACGTTCAATTATGGTTGACAGGAATGTTGATTAAGTGGAAACTTTACGTAAGACAACAATAACCAACATTTAGGAAAATTAAAGTTGTATATTCTGCCTGATTTGTGATTGTGAACCATAAATATAATTAATTTTTGAATTAAATTTCTCGAAAACCTAGTTCCTCATTAAAAATACTTTTTATCTGTTTGCGGTGATAACCGGTTAACGACGTAAAATCAAATAAAATTTAGACGGGAGGAAATCAACAGATTACTTTGAATGTTATTATTTAAAATGAGAAGAATTAAGTCCCGAGCTATTAAAGAATAGATAAAATGCTTTACCTCTGAACATCTCTTTTGCTTACTTACTTGCGCCTGTTAGTCCTCTTGGAGGAGGATGGGCCGCCCACCAGCACTCTCCATCCAACACTGTACTAGACAATCCTTTCCAGCTCTTTCTAGTTGTTATTCGTCCTTTTCACATCTGCTTCTATTATTCGACGTAATGTGTTCTTAGGCTTTCCTCTTTTTCGCTTCCCTTCAGGATTCCAAGTCAGGGCTTGCCTCGTGATGCAGTTTGATGATTTACGTGATGAATTTCCTATCGATTTCCATCGTCTTTTCCTAATTTCTTCTTCAGCTGGAAGCTGGTTTGTTCTCTATGCACGACATTGCACTGTAGTCCGTCGTATGGACGATCTCAGCTATTCACACTATAGTGCCGAAGAAGTTTCCATAACGTCCTCCTATCTACACTGTCAAATGTTTTTTCATAATCGATGAAGTTGATGTATAGTGACGGGTTCCATTCAATTGATTGTTCGGCGGTGATTCCTAGTGTGGCGATTTGGTCTGTGCACGACCGATCTTCACGGAGTCCGGCCTGTTGACCTCGAATTCGGGCGTCCACTGCTTCTTCCATCCGGTTCAGCAACACTCTGTTGGGGACTTTTCCTGGTACTGACAGCAGTGTGATGCCTGTGTAGTTTTCACATTTGCTCAGATCTCCTTTCTTTGGAATATTGATGAGCTGTCCTTCCTTCCAGTCCATCGGCACTTGTATCCCTCCCAAATCTTTTTGAATAGAGGGTGAGGCATGTTTGTAGCTACTTCGATGTCTGACTTCAGTGCTTCATTTGGTATGTTGTCGAGTCCTGCTGCTTTACCGCTCTTGATTTGTCTGATGGCCATTCTGATTCCTTCCGTCGTCGGTGGATTGACATCTATGGGAAGATCTGTGTGTTGCTTCGATGTCCGGTGGATTCAATGGAGCTGGTCTATTCAAGAGTTCCTCAAAGTACTCTATTCATATTTTTTACTACAAGTTATTATGGACTAATATTAAGGGATTTCATGATAGTATACGGTTGTGTATAATAATATATCATCAACTTCAGGTTTTCAAATTAAGCTGTGATAATTTAGTCTCTGAATATCGTAGTAATGCAGTGCAACTTATACCAATATTGATTATAGTATGAAAATCAAATCTTATATTTGGACTATGAGGCGCATCCACTCATCAGACAACTTAAGTATCTATAGTTATAATTGTGAATAATTAGTTCGGTGACAATAATAAACATTTATCTCTTAGTATCGATTGTTTGGTCAATAAAAACCTTGTAATATAAACTTCATAAAATCGGTAGGAAATTTTCGTCTTATTTTGTAAAACTTAATTTTCAACTTACATGTTATTTTGACAATGAAACATTTTTTCCCACAATGACATTTCCGAGGTTTCAACAACCGTGTTTTTAGTTATTTAACACATAGAATGTTTTGTGATAAAATATTTAAGTGTTGGACCATCATGAAAAGATTGAGAAAACGGTTATCAAACATTGATTACGCATTCATTTAAAGCACACAAAAAAACAGAAAGGTAAAAGTGTTATATTTAGTTGTTTACATGATGTATTTAAACGTTGTAAAAAAACAAACAAATGGGTGACAATGACAAACCTCTATGTTAGCAACGGGTGTCAAATCAATAGCAACAGAAGTTGACCTAATCTATACTATTTTTTGGTTAACAATCAATAACCTCTATTTATATAAAGATTTATAGACAACAGCATTATGTGTGAAAACAGTAAACCTATTGATAGCCTTCAAGAATTCAGCTTATAACATCATTTGATCCCATTCACACTAGAATCAGAGGAGAAACCAGAATTTTACTTTGATTGGAAAAAATTAAACTATAGAGAGCTTATATGGAAGTGATAGTGAGATTAAATAGGTATCGCTTTTTCATCCACTATGTAACTTCAATTGTCATACGAAAAAGCACTGTGCACATAATCAACGATGGGCTGAACAGAGCCCGATGAATACTTCTGAAAAATGGCTACTATTTCATAACCATTGATACAAACTAGTTTGAATTACTAAAGACCACTATTTGTGTTAAGCAAATAAAACTACAGCTGTAGAACTTTCAAAAATGGTACCAAGGAATACTTTTACGAAGTTGGATTTTTCCAAGAGATCCAATATGTTCCAATATGTTTCTAATAAAGACTCTGTGTCTATAATATAGCGTTATAGAAAAAGTATGAAAAATATAAATAAAATAAAAAACTGGCTGACAAAGAACCACACTGAATGTCACACTGAAAGATATATATGATCATTTTTTTAAAATAATGGATAAGTAACTATCTTGTTTTGTGCTCTGATCCTGAAAAGCGTTCAGATAAGGTACATTGATATAAATATTTAAATTACATAAATAAACGTTATGACGAACATTATCAAGTTATCAGATATGTCATTCGACACTGTATCTTATACACAAGAAACGGATGAATCGTATAAAAAATAGACTGATCAATATGGATGCACAATTTTAAATATTCAAGTGAAAAATGTTGATTACCATCTAAAAAAACATTGAAGTCTGTGTAATTTATGAGTCAGGAGTGTTATTTTGTATTTCTTGTAGGATCGATCCTGATATTAGTCTAACGGCGTTACTTCAGAGAGAAAGCACTACAATGAGATTTTTGAAAGGATCTGTGACATTACCAGAAGATTTGGAAAGAGCTAAAGTGAGTCAGTTATTTAAATGCAGTTAGTTTATCTGTTTTTTAAGCTTATTGTTTTTTTAAACTTATGAAAATACAGCCTCTTAGAGAAAGGAAACATTTTGTACATTAGATTCCTATTCAGAATGTAGTATTCTGTTAAAAGATTGAAGTGTCATTCAGGGTGAAGAATTTAGTTAGTTTTCGACTAGACAACTGGTTTTACACGGGTGTAAGTGTTCTCTCTGAGATCGAATTAAACACTTAGAGCTTAGAACGTTAGTATTATCCACCAGAATAATGAGTGCCAAAAATATGGCTTGTCCATCCCAAACACACCAGAAAGTTACATGTAAATATATTCAGATTCTGAGTCTCATTTCTAATAAAAAATATATCAATAAAGAATGGATGGCATTTTACGTTATTGGTACTACGAATAAATACCAGATAACTAAAAAGAACACTAATATATTTTAGGGAATGACAGTTTATGCTGTAACTAGGAATTTATTGAGCACTCCATATTAGCTAAACACTTTTATTTGTTAGGGATACAAACACGACTCGCCTTTAAGTCTTTCTAATATTGAATTTTTTATTAGATATGAATGATGAATAGTGAAATAAAATCAACGAACTTTCCTTCTGTGGTCTAATTGCCATACATATTTTACAGCAAATCCAATGCCTCAAACACTATACTTTGATACTTAATGAGTAACTTACTGATAATGTTTGGACAAAATGACCAGCACTGTGGTTTGAAGATCATTTCTTCTAGTATGGTTATTAATTTTTAACGAATTCTTATGTGACTTAGATAGCTCAAATAGTGACTTCAGAAGAAAGACTGCTGTGGAATAGTGGACGTTAGGATATTCTTTCCGTCAAGCTTATAACCTCAGCGCCTCCATACACTAATATTACAATATGAAGTCAATATATTTAGACTGAATGAACAAGAAATTATACACATGATGTTTCATAAAAATGGTTTGTGGTCTAGATATATCATAAGCTTACTAAATCTGCTGACTTTCTGAGGCTTCAAATGCAGCCTGAAGGTTTCGTCAGAAATGTTAGTTTTAAACCCAGATGAATTCAAAATTTGAGTAACATATATTAGAAATAATAAATTAGATAAAATGACGATAAAAGATTTTATTTTGCTGTGCCTTCATAAACTATTCACAACCGATAAGTTTTAAATACCAAGCTATAGTCTATTCCATATGTATCTCGGTACATATAAAGGATGTTATTTGTGTGGGATGATAAAATCTACTAGCACGTAACTGAGTACCACACTTGCCTAAATAAAGTCTATAAGATATGCCAACCTGTTGCAATTGAATATCTTATTTGATAAATAGTTTCCTTAAAATCACATCAATTAACGAGGATAACAGAAAGTATAGTCTCACTGAGTGACCACAGAGTAGTAAACAATGTCATGTTCGTATACCTCTTAGTGTTAGTCAAACTCTGTGAGGTTGCAATATCCAAGTGATGTTGACATCGGATCCACTGTTTGAATATTATGAAGTTGAACGCAACTAGTAGGAAACCTTGCTTCTATTCTCCACGCTAGTTGGTGTATCTGAAACCTTGAAGGGATTAGTTTACTCATGTGGTCTGAATCAGTGTCATCTACTATCATAGTCGGTGGAGTTATGACTGAACTATTTGAGTAGTAAATGAAAGCTTTATGATCTCCTCCTTTTCAGCAATAGCTTCGGGACACCAGAGGATATATGTTTTGTTTAGACCACTGACTATGATGTCTTATGCCTATGAAATCCTTTACAATTTCAATGATTTAGTTGATTCACTTAGTTATAGATTGTGAAATATGTTTAAATTGTTTAGGTGAGTATTTTTTATGTGCTTTTAGTATGCTTGTTTTGGTAAATTTATACGGATTCATTCGTACATTGGAATGGGGATTTTATTGATTTTGATTCAACTGAAAAATGTCAAAACTATGGAACTAGTTCAGATACAGGATATCTGTTGCGTACTCTACTGTTTGATCTTTTGTTAATTGTTCTGAGGCTATAATCACCTTTGAAGTCGTAGATGAAAATCTAAGGTCTACTAGTTAATTGTTGTTGCAACCACCCTATTTATTGTTGAACTCTAATGTGTAGCTGTTTTCCTGCTTTTGTGATTAGATTTTAATTTTTTAAACTTACAACTCAATATACTAATTTTTCCCTCCAGCCCAATATTTCAAAGACTGTTTTTGTGCAGATGACAGGATAGAAGCTGTCATAAGTTACTCATCGAGGTCTAACATGTCTTAAGTTGTTTAAGATGTCCAGGAATTTGGACGGGTCATCATAGCTATAACTACTTGAAAAGTAAATAATCATAAACTCAGTATTTTTTTCAGCAGTATTTATGACGATGAAATAAGTAATAATTTAAACAATTTCAGATTTCAACCTCACCACAAGTCTATCTAATCGGTATTTACATAAAAAACATTTCCAAATATACCTTCCATTTTTAATTCCTCGATTTTACCCATTAGGGTGTCACAAGTTATAGACATTCGTAAAATCCGCCCTAAATATACGTATGAAACAAGACTGTAATGTTAACACACAGTCTAAATTTTCTCAGTAAGATATTTTCCTGGATCCAGTCCCACTAAACAACATTATGACATTTCAAGAAACTTGAAGTTCACCTAGTTTCAACAAACTAATTTTTCAGAATACATTCTTACCGAATACGTTCCAATATTTTCTTGAGCTTATAGAGCATTTTTTGGTGGAGGAAGTCGATAATTGAGGATATAGTTCTTGGTACAAAGTTTTGTATGTGTTTCTTTGAAAATCTACTTGTATAGATCCTTAGATTTACGAAACATAAGAAATCGTGGAGGTTTTTTAATGAGTATATGTGCGATTATTACTCAACTTGTCTTTCAGATGTTTTCTGATTAATTTACTTATACCCATTTCTACTCAATTGATTGTATTTTCGTTACATTTATCAATTACTTTTTATATTCATGTTGAAAAATATGTAAACATTTATTTATTTCATATTACTTTTTATATCAATTGTTTTACTTCTTACTCATTCAAGGTGAGAACTGCTGAGGCTGTGATTATTCTTTCTGATAAATGTAGTCAAACCCCTGTTGAAGATGACTGGAAAAATTTAATGTGTGTTGTTTCCATAAAAAATCTGTATCCAAATATTCGAATAATTTGTGAACTTATGTTAATTGAAAGTAAGGTATGTCTAAGCTTATGATTATTAGTATTATTATTACCAAACGATTGACTATTAAAATTCTGAAGTTAGGTGGACTTTAGAAGTCCGAACCTTTGATCAGCTGAGTGAATATTTATGAAATTGTGAAAATGAAGTGATCGAAACATGAAGAGATAGGAAATATATTATATTTCAAGCACTAATCTAAGGACAAAACTAGAAACGAAGATGAATGAGCAATTCCTGTAGTTTGGTTTACTTCGTGTGATGAGTGTTTTATTTTGGGTGGTGTAATAATCAATGTATTCATCAGTCGTTACGTAAACCGTCTAGCAAGTTTATTTAATCTAAGTTAATGGGACAAAATAGACAAGCATGCAAACAGTTACACACAAGAATGTGCACAGATAAACATTCATAAAACATATAGCCATAACACAAACCATATTTAAGATACCTGGTAACTTTAACAAATACGCACTAATCGACCCATAGTTTTGCATACAGAATGAACACTAAAATAAGTGAAATAGTTGGGAGTTTCAACAAAGTTACTACTTTTTATTCACAGTTTATGCTTTTTTAATCTATACATCTCCATGTCAGTTCAATGTTTGGATTTTATCAGGCTCTAATTTTATTTGTATCTTCAACAAACTCTTTGTTCATCTTCTTCCAAAGTACAGGTGTGGATCTCAAATATACCTGGGTGGAAGGAACATGAAAGTGATCAATTTGATAGAGCTATTTGTTTAACACAGATGAAACTTGGCTTACTGGCATTGAATTGTGTTTCAAATGGGATATCAACTCTGTTATGTAATTTTATAATGCGTGATTCAGTACCAACAGCCGCAGTTAGGGTTAGTGAATGATTTAATGATCAAAATATTACATTTTTTATTATTCTTGATGCTGAATTGTTAAACTCAAAAAGTAGTTTGAAAAGTTTGTTTTATACCTGCTATTCATGCTTTAAGTGACAGATATTGTAGAGACAACATTTTTTACTTCACATGTCTGACAAAATCATATCCAGAATTTGAGACTTATTCCCGATGGACGATTATCACACATAGAAAATACTATTTGTTATGAAATAGATTATTTACTTCATAGAAGTTAACACAATCCATATGGCTTTCAAAAGTTATCATCTTCCGTCTTACTTTTTTTTGCTATCATTGACTTATGGTATACATGTATGTCGATACATAACCTTTCATTTAGTTCATTCTTTAAGAAATTATTGTCTAACCGCTTCATATCGCAAGATTTTTAATCGTTATCTATTATTTCGTAATATGTCAACTAGTTTCCAATTACTCGGTATATTCATTACTGTATAACTGTATTCCTATATCTATGGTTAACTCTTACTGAAAAATTACATGTATACATAGCTGTGATAAGAAGCGAATTAAAAAGATTATTTGAAACCAAATAATTTACAATGCTTAGTAAAATAAGAAATGAATAGTCTTTTATTGCTCATCAAAGAAGATATAACAATGTGACTATTTCTGTTTACAACTTTGTTAAATTTCATGATAATCCTTCAAATTAGTTTATATGAATCGAGGTTGTTATACTATCAAATTATTCATCACTGTTATTATCTCTTTAACTTTGATAGAAAACTTTACCTCGTTGGATAAATGAATATTTTCAAGGTACAAAATATAAATTATATACAGTAAAATTATCTCATGCTTTCGATGGGATGATATTTCAACAATTAGTTGGGTGAGTGATCATTAGTTGATAAATAAATTAGATTTTTTTTACGTATAATAATGCTTTAGGAGAAGAAAAATGTATCATTCATGTTTATTCATATGATTATAAGATAAATAGTACTGAATGAACATACAGTCCAGTACAATGTAAGAATCATTGAATAATTTCCCAAAAGTAATTCTTTCGAATTAAGTTAGAATAATTTAAGCCATTTTGTTACTTCATTTGAGGTGCTTTATCGAGTATATTAATTGTCAGTAAAAACTTGATTGAAACTCTAAGAAAATCGATTAACAGATTCATTCGAATATCTTGATGTCCTAGCTTAATTACCTTAAGTAGATTGTCTTTTTATGCTTATGAATATATCTCACCGTTGTCATAAACAGGGAATTTGTTTTCCGCATATTTCATCTTTTCCCGTTTGTCAGACAGACTAATGTACAGTAACACATCATTGCCAAGGACTTATACTTTAGTGTCATCAACCTGGAGCGTACTGTATTTCAAAATTTGTCCAATTTTAACATTTTCTTTTATTACACCTACAATAATGTAAATGATGATGTATCATGACTTTTCACAACAAAACGAAATTTGTATGAATACATTTAAAACTGGGGATAAATTCACTTTAGATAATGATAATTAGATACTGTATAATTGGTGTTTTAGACAGTCTTAGTTTGAGGGAATGAACAATAACTTTTTCAGTGGTCGTTCAGTGATGAAAAGTGTCTATGAATCAACTCAGTAGAAGATAACTGCAAATACTACTTTTTGCCCAAACAGTTCTATTTAAAGTATTTTGTTCTATGAATTTTCGTACTTTATTCACATGTAGCTTTGCCATGGAATTTTGGGGTTTACTTTTGTTAGCTGTACAAGTTTATACCAATAATGATAAGAAAACTCAAATGATTATCAATCCAGGAGTACGGGTACGAATTAATACCCATCGAATGCGTGCAGTTGTTTTGGCTAAAAATTTAATCGAAGCACAACGGTAAATCATTTTTTTTATTAATTTACTCACCTATTAACCTTTATTCAAAATTAAAAATAAAATTTAAATTTACTGGGAAGATTATGCTTTGTTTCTTGTAATAGGAAAAAAATGACTAGTTTCAAATCCCTTTTAACTGATTACTAGTTACAAGTAATATATAGCTGTATACACAGACAATTTAAGTCTTGGCAACTGTACAAATTTAGATAGATCGGTAAAAACATACCACTTTCAACTAATGAACAATAGGTTTGAGCCCTATTACGTCTACTTTAGTTAAGAAGACAGATTATTATCATTTCCCCTCACACAAAAATATAATATGACTAAATTTCACGTAAATAAACAAGTATCTGGTTGCCAAGTGAAGTTATAATATAGTCTAAACGACTTATGTAAGTATTCTTCAAAAATCAGTTCGGTTATAAGCCGGACAGTATTTTAGGAAGGTAAAAAGGAGAGATATCTAAAATCCGATAGTTAGTCGATATTTAAATCATGTGATATTTCTAAAGACAGACTCCAGAACAAATTATGATTTTAAAGTACATGAAAGCTTATTCTATATTCGCAGTAATGGGATAATATATTTTAGGAAGAAGCCGCAAAGTATTCCTCTAAAATCCATTCAGAACTGTATTATTCAATATAATAGATTTAATTAGAAATGAATATGTTCGCGTTAAATCAATAGATAAATAACTATAAAAGGGTAGTTAACAAGTAAATATACAACTTGTAGATAATTCTTTAAGATACAGATGTCAAGTGACTTATTTCCTCCAATGATTTATATGGTATGAAATAAATGACTTTTGAAAGAATCCTAAATGAAAGTTGATATTGTTCTTCCAATTTTTAAGGATATCCATTCTCCATCGTCGAACTAGATTTATCTGTTTCATTACCTCATTTTTGCACTGTACTATAAATGTGCAAACGAGCCATAAGGTGTCACGGTAACTTAGAAAATGGATGTGATAATCACGATTTTGTAGTGAATGTTGGATAGAGTGAAGAGTTTCAGTACATCAAAAACACGACGTTGGCAGAACACTTGGAGGCCAATAGAGAAGACAGTTTGGATTTTAGAGCACACAGGAAGATGCAAATGGACGACTGAAAACTATGTATATGTATTATGTGAATACTTTGTAATTTCTCATAATATCGTGATAATGTTCCTGCCCATTACAATTTATGAAATACAAACTAACATACAAGTAATCTCCAATAGACTATCAAATTATTTTCATTCATCGTCTCGTGTGTTGTGTTATTTAAATTCTGAGAATTCAAATTGTAAATAGCCATACTAGATTAACAACACAATGCATATGATAAAATTTATCACTGTATATGTTGCTTTGCCAAGCAGTTGATCTGGATTGTACACTAGGTTATGCAGTAGTATCCACTTTTTCTCCTGGGAATTTTTTATTCCGGCTACTATATTGACTGTCCTGAAAGGTTCTTGTAATTGCAAAAGACTATACTAAAATTATGTTGAAACTTATACCGTAAAGTTAGTTTTTCAAATTTGTCAGTCTTTCTTTAATCTTATTCTTCTTTTAATAAGTTTTAAAAACAATATCGTACTAACTATGAAGTAATAAATGTTTATTCCTGCTTAAAAGTCTGTGTAGGAAAATAGAAACAATAGCAGTACGTCATTCCATTTACTGAATAATGTTTTTTTTCTATCATTATAATACTGTTTGTTATAATCAGCTTGAGGACTTTCTCAATTGATGGTCAAATAATGTTTGATAATTATGGCCAATTAATATTTTCGTCACTTAGTCGAAATCAGGGTAAGTATATAAGTTAAAATTTTAAAATCAGATAACAAATTAATCGCAATAACTATTGAAGTTAAAAAACAAAAGGTTTCATTTCTGTGTAAAACCAGGTAGTCTGTCGGTTGCTGTCATGTAATACTACTTTCATTTTAACTTTACTCGTTATCCCAGTATACATAAAGTGATTTTCTGGTCATTTATGCCAGTTAATGTTGTTAGTTGCTCAAAATGTTTCCGTGAAGTTGACCTAATTGAAGATGGTTTGTATCATGAACTGAAAATGACTAGATAATACCTATTCTACATAGTTCAAAAAGTTAAAAATGGTTCAGAACTTGTAATGTAAAACTAACATTTACAAAAAAACAACTTAACTTCTAACAAATTATTTGTTCCTATAATGGGTTATGCTTTTGTTTTAAATGATTTAGTGTAATGAAGGAATTCATTTCAATGAGTTTCATATTCGTATGAAAAACTGTTTAGAATAATTTTCCACAAGTTTTAAAACAATAGATATTCTGTGGCCCGTTGATCTGACTCCATTTAGAGCGTACGAATGTTTGCTATCGCCTATTCTCGTGTATCATCGTCGACTTAAATCGCGTTATCCAATAACGGAATTAAGTAAGTCGAATAACGAGAATTGACTTGAGAATACATATATTTCGCACATGAAGCGAATGAAACAGAGCCAAGCAAAATGACACACAAGGGAGGACGGCTGGGAAGCCAACTCCATTTCAAGCCGGGCATTACTCAATATTTATAGGCAGACAAAATAAACTACAGACATGTGATGAATCATGGGACATGAAGTGTACACACATATACGCTCATATAAAAAACAGTCTAGATTGATAAGCGAATAAATAACAAGGTCAAAGTATGGCTCGAGTAGAATGAATAGAATGGGATGTCCAAAAGCTAGAATAAGGTATATGGGCTTAACATAGTAACTGACACTACAATTCTATGCCAAGTGTTCTAACAAGATATTAATGGATCTGATTGTAAATTCTACCCAATTTGTAGATAATATATGCGAGCAGTCAAATACACTTTCCCCAATTGCAAATAGTTTTGTTAAAACAATTCAAATGTGTTTTAGATTTCTTCGACAATCAATTGTAACTTACTGTAATATGAAGTAAGTAAACATTTTATACTGAAATATTATTTAATAAAGAATATCTTGTGTGATTTCTATAATATTTTTTGAATTATATAAGTTTAATTTTATCAATGAATTCTTTAGATTCCATCTAGAAAGAATTTAATCTTGAATTGTTACCTCCGGGAACGGATCAATATTCAATAACAGACTGATAATAACTGTAAATCAAAGAACGTTGTTATTAATGTGAATCTTTAGATTCCATACTTACATAGGCGATCTGTGATGACGATAATCTATATTTCGTCATATCAAAAGTCACGATTATCTTAAAGTTTTTATTATTCAATAGAGTGAATTAGAACAAATATATTCATCACAAAGATAAGGAATTTAAAGTTGAATTCTGAGAGGTATGAGATATGTTCTTATTCTTGAGGAGCCTTAGGAAATAACAAAGTACTTATTTAATACATTCTATTTTTCCCAAGTTATTCAACTTTAGTTTTTACTGGCTTGAAATGCATATGGATTGTCATGGAAACAAAATAATTTTACCAAGATAATATTTTGACCGTAACAATTTGACTTTTTAAAATACAAAACATTAGACGCTTTCATCATATTGTACAGGTATGTTAGAAACTGATTAAATATAGTATATACTTATTAATAACTAGAAAACATTCAATAAAGCGTTTAAAAACTATATATTGTAAAAGATCATTAAAATTGCTTAGAAAATGTTAAAGGTGGGTTGATGCATATCATTATAACTGTTATTTTTGAGCTAATCTCAGAACATATTCTCTTTAATTTGTACAACTCCCTAAGTTAGGTAGTTGAAAACCTTCAAGATTTTAAACAGTATATCATCTTCTCTACAGTCCTTGTCTAACTGTAAAAATATTCGCTTCACCAAATAAATATTCACTGATTTTATATATTCTATCATAAAATATCTTCTTATTAGCGAAATAAAGATCTCTAGATGTCGTTACCCACAGTGTCATTTAAATGGATTTCTACATTTATATACATTATGCAGGATAGACTTAGTTTACGACTGTACAGAGTACGGAACATGTTCTAAACAAATCCATTCTAAAAGTCATTAAAAACATCAATGGTAAATGAAGTCATTCATATTAAAGTGTAAAATATCCTCGAAAGATTCAGTTCTTCCTGTGACTAGTGATATCGAACTCAATGGATTTATAATATTATGTGCCTTAAGCCATTAACCAAATAGTCAATTTTTTCATAGAATTTCGTCTCTGATAAAATGATAGCAAATTATTATTGTATTACCAACCGATTTAGATGACCTAGTCCAACAGGGGTCCACTTAAGAGTAATTACTCATACAAATGCTGTATTGGGTTACATAGGTTAGAGCTTTCGAGAGTATATATGTTTTATAAAAGCTATGGATAAACCTCACAAACGAATAGTAGTAGGTGAACTGTAATAACATCAACTTGTAAAATAATTAAACTTGACCAGAGCTATCAACTAAGCAGTATTACACATGGTAATCGGGTTCGTAAACTAAATTTCTGTAGATTCTGAATGGAAATTATGAAATATCATATGAACTTTTCCATCAGGTGTGATGAAGTTCTTGGTGTGAAAATAGCATCATAATAAAGTTGATCATAGTATTACGATTTCATGTAGAAAATCATCATCATAATATTATTACCCGAAATCTAACTTGTTCCTCAGTTGTTTCAAAATGTTGAAGTGTCAGATATTACAATTTGCTTTATCAGTCTACGGTGTCAAATACGTATGTCTAATAAACTGATTTAGAGTTACTTGTACTATCATCGGCTCATTCGAAACCATTTTGTAATAATAATTTATGAAAAGATCAAATGATTCATATTCTCTTCTACGTTCACTAAAAGTTGTAGCCGAGCAACATTATTAATACAGAAATAGTGATAAAGTATTATCAAAACATGCGAAGAAAATCATATGCAAAAATATAAATACATAGATAAGAATGTTAGAAGTTACTTTAATTGTCATTTGGAAGCGTGTTCGTTTTTTGGTCACGTAATCGACAATTATAATAAGTAATCAATAATTCAAAATACGATATATATATATATATATATATATATGATCCAATCTAATATATAACAAGAATAATCGAGTAATGAGGACACTAATGTGATCAATAAACGTTTAAAGCAATGATATTATAGATTTATTAATGTGACAGTTGATTAAGTGAAAACGAAAAGTGTGTTAGCAGCAGTGTATTCGTCAGTGATAATCAGTGTCATACAATAAGAGAATAAAACAATAACAGAAAGTCAATGTTAAATTTAAATAACGGTCAACAACAATGATTGTACAAATTAGATGAAATTATGACAACTGTGAATAACAACAAAAATTAATTACAAAATATATCTGCGTTAATCATCTCCACAAGGTACATTTGTATATTCTATTATCATCAAAATTCATGAGGTCGACTAGAACAAATTGATAACTAAATGAATTAGGATTTGGATCGAAAGCTTCAATCACCACAGGTTTGAAAAATATCAATAATTTAATTTGCTCATTATTCGTTTAAGCTATCAAGTATTGTCTACTAAAACAGTTCTAGATTATTAGATCGAAAATTCTAGAAAATATCTTGTGAATGTTCTATTGTTCTAAATTACCATAAATGAGTTTCAATCTTAAAGTTAAATCACATGCCTTATTGATTTACTTTCTACTTTCATGGATAACAAAAACTACACTTTAGGAAGGCCAAAGTATTAAAAAAAGTCCCTACATGTGCAAGTAGTTTTTCGATGAATTCTTATTATCGTTATCCGTATCCAGATAGTACAATAACTGATTTAGCGCAACTACAAAGACTGAATGTAATCGATTTGCAGTGTGATAGTACCGGTTTATTTTATTGGGTAACTGAGAGAAAATTTTCAAATATATGTTTGGTAAGTAAAATAGAATAAATCAAATTGTTTCTCTTATCTGACTTTTTTAATACAATTTTCTCATATATTTCCTGTACCAGTTTCTTTAAGATATTGTTATTATTGTGTGTTTATATACACTAAACAATGCTTCAAACCAATTGTATACAAATAGCTTATTAAGGTGATTGTAAATTATATTGGTGTTTATAGAACTAAACTTCATTGGATGAAAGTCTTACCAAGTTGGCAGTTAAATTTAACTTTACATGTGCTTTGATCAACTTAATCAAAAATGACTCTTGTTAAAATACAATCTTCTGAGTACCAAAAGAACAACGACTAATCCTCAAATGAATTGCTGGCTTCTATGTTACCGGCGCAATCCTCTAACAAATAAGCCACGAAACTTGAAGGTTAATTAGGTTATACATTCACTGAAGTTACTGAGCTTTATGGTCTGCTTTTGTAGAATTAAATTTTATTCAATTCTATGTAGTTCGAAAACTGAAGTAAAGTAGTATAATGACTCAAATATACAAATTACAGACAATTTTTTATTCACCCAGTATGTACACCTCTGAAAATTATTGTTTGAACTACCCTCTCGTTTGTTAGTTGTTTATACTTAAGATTACTCACATACTGAGGTTATAGCTCTATACTTTTTAAAATCAGACAATCCTCTATTTAATCGCTTTTGATAAGTTTTAGTTAGTAAATAACTGAAGAATGTATTTACCTTTCCAGACGATGAAAGAAATGATTCGCTGTCAGTTTGAAAATCATATCATTGTATGCATCATGAAACAACCTAAAGAAATAAAATCAGGTCTAGCTAGTTTTGTACTTCCACTCAGATCAACTTCGATACCGGTCGAAGAATTGAAACCAATAATTATTTTGTGTGAAGCTAAAGTTATTGAAAATGAATGGCGATCTCTGAAAAATCTCCCAAATATCTATGTCTTTTCAGTAAGTCAGTTTATCCGAGAAATATCATAGCCTTCGATAATTTTTTTTCAGAATGTTACTTGCTTATTGTAAATTAGTCATAATGAAAATCTAGTGATTTGGTTGATTTACAGATAGCTTTCATTATCAGTACATATCATTTAACAGAGTACTAATACCCAGAGCCAACAAGACATTGATAACTGCTGTATTATACCATATTTAGGATTTTTCAATTATTAAATTAATAAGTAACTAATAAACTCTGGTTCTCATTGATCTTTCTACGAATGTCTTTCCGATATTACACACATCTGTCAATTTAATCTGGTTATCCCATCAGTTTTAGTAAAGTATAAGAAAAAAGTTTTTATTTAAGTTTGTCAAGACATCATTGTATATAAATTTGATAATATTCTATGTAGGGTTTATTCCTAATATTTAATATTCCTTGGCTTCAGTACTGAATAGCGATCCAACATTAAGTACTATATTCGTCTCTACTTATCTTTCATTGAAGTCAAACACGTATTTATTATTTATTAATGTGGTTAAAATCGACGAGCATCTGACAATAACTTTTTCTTTGCTATATTAAACAACCAATAATTTTCTTTTGAAGGATTCGTACATGGTATACTATCTCACATAGAGTAAGATGTCCATCTTTAAAGAAAAATTGGGATCTACCATAATTATTTAGAATAAACTGGAAGATATCTGCTGTAAAACACAAAGATATGGGGAATTCTTAATGAATATCTCTTCAATGTTATCAATAATCCTTCAGGGGTTTCCTTTAATAATGAGACTAAATTGTTTTATTTAGTTCGAAATTTCACAAAAAATATCAGTGCTTCGATTTGTTTATTAACAAAGTATGATTTAGGATATGTGATTTGAACTTACAATATCAAAGCTTCAGTTCACAATTCTGAAAAGCACCAGAAACTGCAGTGAACGTGTACTGATGTTAACTCTTTTTGTAATCTTACTAAGAAATTACTTTTTGTGGAATCACTAATGTTTATCATATTATGCTGCGGATTACCATTCCAAGTTGTCAGTTGTAATATATACAGTTATTAGCTATCAGAAGTCAAGTTTTAACTGTTTTATTTTTAAATATGTAAAAATTAAGATGGTTTATGAGATATTTTTATTCCCTGATAAACCATATTTACCAAAATTAGTATATTTATATCTCTATGTTGTAATTAGTATGGTGAACTGGATATACTGGATATATACTATAGAGTAGCATCACTTAAGTCAGTTAAATAATCAAAACATCGGGTTACCAACGTGTATCTTCTTACATTTCAAAGAGCTAAAGGGAACTGGTATAAGATCATCATAAATCAACAATTATAATGTATCTGCCATCTATGCCAAAGTAGCTGTTATTCTTCATAATTCTATAAGGATACGATTCATCATTTGTGTAACCAGAATATCTGTTATTAACGTATATATTTAAAAATTTACAAAAACTTATTATTCTTATCCTTCAGTTAATTTTATTGCACAATTTAGGGATCACCATTAAACAGAGCTAATCTTCGAGCTGCCGGTGTTGAAAGATGTTCTACTTGTGTTGTACTTTCATGCTCATTTGATATTTCTGGAAAGCCATCATTAATGATAGATAAAGAAAGTATCCTATGTACTTTGAATATTCGTCAATTGTTAGCTGATGCACATAAAACAAGTTTGTGAAAGTGTTTTTTTTCTTTTAATTTTTAGCTTTACATATTCTAATTAATATACAAGCTTCTTTATTGCAAATATTCTATTTAAAACTTTTAAAATTGAGTCTTCATACTTATTGATTGATACACACTGCCATAAGTTGTGGATATTTCTAAAAGGCCACAAAGTTTCTTCTATTTAGAACCATATAATTCAAAATGAAAGAATTTACCATAGGTTTTAGATACAGATGAACACAAAACCACGGAATTAGTCTTTCTATAAATGGTTTCTAACCATTCGAAATTAAGTAAACTGAATAGAAATGTTGAGTTATTTAGGTTACTAATTATACTGTCAAGTTCCGTCACTTTACTTCGGTTATAGTTAAGAACTACAGCAAGGTACTAGTTATTCACAAGTGAATGATTACTTTGTGAGATGTAATAAGTTGAACAGATCTACTTATTATAGTTTGCCATTATATTTTCAATGTTACTTGACGATATTTTATTGACATCTAATTTCTGAATCTGATTGTTGTATCGAATGTGTTGTCAAGCTATAATCAAAGCCTTTTTCAGTCAGATTCCTCGTCATAAAATGACTTTAGTTCATCATTTACCAGCTTTCAGCTTCAAAACTTTTAAAGCTGCTCTCAATTCATTGGTGAGATAACTTTAATGTTGTGGTACCTTGCCTTACATCTTGTACCATTGTGAATATATTTATATGACAATGCTTTATTTTGATCTCACGCTCTGTCAAACTAAGAAATCTCTCATTTTCATTTCATGTTACTAAAATAGGACATAGTTAAAAACAGTGATATTTGTCAGTAGTTGTCATTCATCTAAGTATACTGTTTAATAGTGATTTTTCATATTTATCCTTACTGGCTAATTTTATTCCCTATCAATTGCTTTTAGATATTTTAAATATGACTGAACACAATCATCCTATGCTTGTAACTGAGCTTTGTAAGTTTATGATAATGTATTACCACAATCGATTAAGCTTTCATTGAATATCTATGGCTATATTTTTTCTAAATCTTTCAACTACATCATAAGATTTCGGTATGCGACAGTTGTATGGAGAACAGGGTCATACAGTTATCGGTTATACAATGGATCCATTTTAGTTCACAGGATCATATCAACCACCTAACAACAGTCCGAAATTCACATTGAATAATCAGATGTAACAAATAGGTGATGCGCTTTAATCTATTAAAGGTTAGATTCAAATCTAAGTATAACAATAAAATAATGAGTTAAAAATACAGAAAACAAAGAGAACAAATTCAGATAACTTTTTATTCAAATTAGACGAAAACAAAATTATAAATTTGTGACAAAAGGAAATGAGATGCACTGAATATAACAAAGTAATATAATGATTATTTTATAACACTTATTACTTCATCAAAAACCTTCCTAAACTTTATTTATGGCTGACGCGAAATAAACCGTTCATGCATTTTCCCTATTTCATAATTGTTTCTGAAGTGTAAATAAACATTGTTACCTTTATGAAATTGAATAAAGCCAAAACAACAATTGAGGCAAATTAATATGAATCCATTACTGAGAGGCGCAACGGCTCGGCATTTGTTTAACACTGACATTTCACAAACCTTCAAAATTATTAACAGATAAAAAAACAGAGCATCTCTCAGGTTCGTCGAAGCAATAGCAATAAAAAAAACTCACATCAAATTTATGTATTCAGAAATTGACAATAATAAACTTATCACTACCTTGGTAAATTATTTTTGTCTTTATCATTATTACATTAGTGCTTACATTGTTATGTGGTCTTCCCTTAACTAACACCAAAACTATCCCTTAACTCATACGTTTTCATTCATTTAATTCTCTTATGTAAACTCTTCAAATCCTGTTCCATTATCACGTAACTCATAAATTTCTAATTCCAGTAACTTTATGTAAATCTTTCACAACCCCTAAATTATCCCACAATCTATCTTATTAGTCTCTGGACCTCAATTAATCAATGCATCATCCACCCCTTATGTTTTTGAATACCACCCCCAAATGACCTCTAACATGTTCTTGCATATATATCAGTTATTACTGATAACCTTTGTCGTTCTAATTCGTTCCGCCATCAATGTCATTTGTTTCACATTATATCATACCTCATTGTTACCTTTATATACACGAATGGTTGTTAGCAGCTGATAAGAAACCACAAAGTATAATGAATTCATATTATTCTGCCTCAATCATTGTTCTGGCTTGATTCAAAGATTGTTACATTAGCTTAGATTTTTGTACCTTAATGTAAATTTGATATTTTAATGAATCTGTTCAAAGATCTGAAATACTTTTAATGTACAGTTCATAGCATTTCCAACTTTTTACTTTCGAAACCAACTCCTTAATATTGTGATTCTGTATACAATATTGGTGTAAGCAAAATCGTTCAAAAATAAACATTTATTTAGGGAGATTCAATGCGTATGTTTATTTGCAACGTTTTCTAAAACACATTTCTTCTTACCAGTCTCTTACGTACTTTACTATCTCTTCACAATTTTTATCAAAACTGTTATATCCCGATAAGAATAATGAATGGTAATTTTCGGGATCCATTTATGGACCAATACTATGAGTATATTTTATCGTGTAATTGTTATGTAACTAAACTGTTCATATTCATGTCCCTGTTATTATGAGTTTTATTTTGACCTATGAACTATTATTATACGACTTACCATTCTTGAATTATTCCCTGCCTGTTGATCACTACCTCCCTCGTTCACAGGCACTTTTGATCAAATATTGTACAAATGTTATTTTCTATTTTATGGTACGTTGTGATCTGCTTGATTGGTATATAAACCGCATATGTTTGAAATAAATGATTCATATTGCAGAGGCTGAGACCGGTGTTCTGGAATCAACTGGCCGGGCTAGGTGGGAAGCAGGGCCAATCAGGACTCTAGGCTGCTCGCACGTGCTTTACGCGTCATTGATCCGATTGATAAGTCACTGCACATTAATCGGCGTTCACAAGTTATGACAAAAACCTAGATCATTTAATGTTACCTGAAAATAATTTCCAAAAGTGTAATTCAGTGACAAAATTTGAAATAACAGTATAAATTATCAATGGATTTAGTTAATGTTAATATTTATATTAAAAATAGCCAACACACTAAGTAGTAAATAGTATTTCTGAATACATCGAAGATTCCAATGTTTTTTTTTCTGAAATAATTCATCCTTTACACACAAGCCTATATCATACAATAAAAACATTTCTTTTCAATTCTAGATGATGTAACCAATGCAAGCCTTCTATCAACTAAATCAAAATATGGAAGTACTTACTTCAATCCATTAATTGCCTCAGGAAATATTTTCGAATCTAATGTCTTGCATAGTCTTTCATCAAATGTAAGTAAACATTCATTTCATTAAACATTAATTAGAGACTCTATAAGCTTCACCATAGCTAATAAAAATCTTTGTAGAACTGAGTTTTTGTTGGTCAAATTTATAGTTAAAAGTATAAAATTTACTTTCAATGTTAAATAAGAAAAGTTTGAAAAATTTCCATATTGTAAATTTAGAACAACATATATAAGCGAACAATATTGTTTTTGATTAGATCTTCATCAGGCTTTACTCTAATATACAGTAATATTTATATGCATATATGAAATTATTAAACCAATCAAGACAGTTTATGAGTCAATGATGACAGTGGAATAGATTACATAATATGTGAAAAGTACAAATTGATAGTGTGATGATAGTTGTACTAGTTTTTCATAAGAATAACAAAGGCTTAAATCAGTGTTACATAATCGGAAAGTCACTGACAAGTGGACTGAGTCATGTTGGTAGGTGCAGACTACCTGGTTGGGGACCGCGAGATGATAGCAACCGATGGTTAGAGACCCTGAATGACATGGCTCAAAATCGTTTGCAATGGCGCAGGTGCATCCACTCTCTGTGTTCTCACAAATTCTAATCTTCTGAATTCTTCATGTCCCTTTTTTCCTCTTTCCAAATTTATTTCACTGGATTATACTCTTTAAATAACATCTCCAAACCCTAATCTTCCCGATTACTGCTTATACTCTTATTACCTCTACCACTACGGGATTTGAATCGACAACTGCATCTCTGTGCTTATGTGGTGTGGCAACTCGAACTGATGTACGTACGTACGAAGTTCTACGTTGTTACTGACTGACTGACTGAATCGGAAAAAGGTCAGTGATTAGGAAAATATACAGTGGGATAACATTTATAAAAATTATAGAAGTGTTCAGATAATTAGACCATAAAGCGTATATTTGAGAGAGAAAAATGGTTGGGAGAGTGTGAAGAAAAAAAACAAACGAACAAAGAGTATGAAAAACAATAACAATAGATTCATTTATTAAGGCAAAGGGAGGGACAAGGGTGATACAAATTCCTTATAAACACATAGACTTGGATTGTTGGTTCGAATTCCTATAGCTTCTGCTATGTGTAAGAGACGAGGTCGAACACCATAAGGAAAACTAGTAGGAATACGATAAATAACTTTAAATGACTAGTTTCTATCCACTACATGACCGCTATCGATCAAGTGTGATAAAACCGAGCTGCGTATTGTCTTGACATTACCTTTTCCAAATCATAAAGGGAGGTGTCCACTAACTCTTCGGTTCAGTTGCCTGGTAGTGTGCCCAATATAGCTTTCTCCACAGGAGCAGCTGAATTCGTAGATACACATAATATTACTGTATGTTAGAGTAAAGCCAGATGAGGATCTAATCGAAAACAATATTGTTCGCTTATATATGTTGTTCTAATAAGAAAAGATCAAATTCATTTTAATTACAATTTAACCCATATCTTAGCAGATATGAATTTGTTAATTACTACATAGTTCTCTAAAACGATTGTTACCTAGATGCTTTCTGTAGAAATCCAAATAACTACTTTATAATAAAATGTCAACTTAATTATATAATACTAGTAGTATATCATTTGATGGAGAAAAATGTTCACTTCATTGATCAGCATACTTTTATAGATAACAGAAGTGTTATTTTATAAGAATAGAATAAACAGTACCTAAAACAAAACATAGTTTTGGAAAAGTTGAGTTCATTCATGTTGTAATCATCGCATTTGGATGAATCACGATTTAGTTTCTTCTAAATCTAAGTAGAATAATGATAACTAACTTTACAAAATGAAGTTGAACTCACTGTATTTTTCTTTTTATATATAAAATAGGATTGATCAATTATTGAAAATAATTGAATACTAACATATTTTAACTTGAGTTTTAGTGTATTCCGTTTATGGTTTACGTTCAACATTATTACTAAACTATTTTGATTCTGTTATGTTACAAATTTCTATTGTGATCCTTTTCATTGTTTGATAATGAAATTGACATTACACAGTATTAGAGAACATTAGCATTTTTGTTTGTCTCCTTTTTGAATTCATTAACTTACACCTATTCTAATATGCCTTAAGAAAATACAGCAGTATTCATTGTGTTCTATGTATTATATTTTAGCTATTAAATATAATTCGGTGATATCACAGAGTAAGAAGCATTTACAAAATAGGGTGGTCGTACCATATCACACTGAATATAAAATAAAAACAATTCAGGTTTCATGAAATTCTCCGGCCTAAGTTTTTGCAAACCGAGTGAAAAGAATATTGTGACTAACAATAATATTTATCTGCAGTGTTTTCTAGTAGATGTAACTTTAGGTTGGTTGTCGAATTATGTTATTTTTAATATGATCAATATTATATATTGATGATGCAAATATTAACTACTTATTTGAAGAATTATAGAGGAATAATCTGATATAAACTGTGACTTTAGTAACGTCAATAAAAGAAAAATCATGTTTTCGCATTTTCATCAGTCATTAAAGTTAACCTATACGGAGTAAAATTCGATGTACCATTATTAAGTGCTATTATAATGAACAAGAACACAAGTGGGGACAAGTGAATGTATTCGAACCCGAAATTACAGAATATCTCACTAAAATCTGAGAACCATACAGTAAATACTTAATTTGCAAAATGTCAATCAATTGTCTCAAACTTGACTGGTCCTTTTTCAAACATCAGTCCATCGTCTCAGACTTCATTATTCGTGTATTTTCAAAAAATTGCTATCCGTTCCCATCCTCCCTTCGATCTTCTACTGAAATACATTCTATTCTTGACCATCGTTGGATACTACTTATGTGGATATAAGTAGCTCACACCACATTATGACATTTATTGACAGCTGGATCTTTAAGAAATGTTTTTGTGGATACATTATATATTATAACTAACTAAAAAAGAAAATGTTTCTTTCCCACTAGTTTGACATTTCTGAATAAAATAAGATCACAAAATAATGTGTAGTTGCGGTAAAAAAACGTCAGGTTACGATTATTTAAATAAGTTCCCCAGCAGTGCTTAGAAGGTAGATCAAATACCAGCAAACTGAAAATACCCTCCACTTTTAAAGATTGCATTACGCAGTTATTGAAATACAGTTTGGTTAACTGAAACTACGAACTAAATATTGTTATGTCTATGGTTTTAAATATCTTAATACCATATCGTTTAATTAAACAGAAATAGTATGAGCAAAGCAATAGTTAATTCTATCTATTCCTTACTTATCCTACAGACTATTGTTGTATTACACTTGACTTTCAGGTACTATTCGATCCAACTGTAATAACATTTATTGAGACAATTTTAGGCGGTGGACCAGGTCATGAAGTAGAAAAGGTATTTGCTATAGATAGTGGTTTCTTTCCAGGCTTAAAGGGACAACCAGTCAGTACTTTGACATTTCCAGGTTATCTAACTGGTAATATACCAAGTCAAGTTGATGATAAAAACGAAAGTAATCGATTATATTCCAGTGAAGTACAAAATACTTTGTCAACTACTGGTTCTATCTCTGATTTTCTGAATAATGAACACAATAAATCATTTTTAAAGAAGAACTGTTTAAGCGGAAATATATCCCAGTTTGATGGACAAACAAGATCACGTCAATCAAGTGACTGCTATGTAGAAGGTAATAAGAATGTAATTTATGATATATTTAATGATGCAGAACTTTTGAAAGAGAAGACAGATTCTAGCTATATAACAGCAGATAATGAACAAATAAATGTAAAAAGTTTTTTAAGCTATAAAACTGAAACAGGTGAGTTAAATTGTCTAAATAAATCTTTCTATTTAGTATTTTAACTTGTACTGTTTTTTTGAGATATCAAAACCTTCATGGTTGATGGACAGATTTGAGTAATGTCTTAAAAAATTTACTGATAAGCGATAGGCAGTATAAATCTTATATTCATGCAGTTGATTATTGTTTGTTAAAGCTCATGTTAGAGATTATCTGATAGTGAAACTTTAAAGAATTGTTTGAAGTCTAAACAACCCACCTTTAACATTACTGGATGTAGCATGAAATCTTTAGAAAAATGGCGAATTGAAATTGATTGCCCAAAGCAATATACCAATTTAAAATCTCGAGTTCAGGCAAAGGTGCTATAGTGTCACTTCTCAGTTGACCTAATCGTAAAAAGATATTTGTTCTTGAGAAGGAAACTAGGTTAGTAGTGATGGTTTCGTGACTCCAGAGTCCGAGTTATAGCTGCTTGAAAGCGGTAACTTAAGAACTTTCTGTAGGTACTTTCAGAGGGATTAGTTCTGTACTAGAAAGAACTCAACTTCAGGAACGGAAATCCTTTGAGCAAAGTGAGACGTGGTGTTTTGGAGCCAGGATTTCTTAATCCCCCTTTGTTTCTGAGGAAAGCAACACTCTTAGAGCTGGTTATTCGTAGAAAACACCGTAGTGGCTTAGCTTCGTTATTCAGTCACATTGATAACTGTTATTATATAAATCCCAACGGTGTTTAAAATCAGACGATAAGAAGTGGCGACTACAGTTTATTAGCGGATAGCACAGACAACAATGTGGTTTAATAATTTCGTACGTACATATTAGAGTAAAGCCTGATGATCTAATCAGAAACAATATTGTTCGCTTATATATGTTGTTCTAAATAACAAGGTTATAAGCTCATCGAGCAGATTTGAAGAAGAGTCTAATGTGTGTATGCAATCAAATACAGAAGCAAATTTATAGTCAAATCGAATAAGGCACAGCTAGCCAAGGCAAAAGCTAACAGTAGGATTCGAGTACATATATACAAGGGAAATAGAATGATTCATCGAGCGATATTTAAGCTAGAAAGATATTTGTGTAGGATGTCATGTGATCAAGCGTATACGTTTATACCGACAAGATAGTGATTATAACAGTACAAAGAAATATGCGAAGTGTTTCTGGTCGAATAACATTGTCTGTTAAGTGAGTTAATAAAATGCTTGACAAAATTTAACAATAATCGAGATTTATTGTAAGAGTCACCATTACACCTTACTCCGACATCTCAGCACAATCAAAACCACGACCTCACCCTCAGACCTTACATTTGCTGCTTTATGTCCCATTAACCTTTAGCATACCTGCTCAGCATGGTTGGACCTCATCAAATAAGTGTTCTAGCCAATATGAACTCGAATGAGTAGTCATAATAGGTGAGGCTGACCTCCGTATTGAGATAACAGGTACTACCTGAGTCACCTGTAGCATAGGAAAAACATCTTTCTGTCTATCAAAAGCTAAGTCTACAGTCTACTTATGCCTGTAAAGTATGATCATTGAAAGTCGAGAATACAAGTGGACTACTAAGAAACGATCATAATTACCTCCGAAGCATTACTGATCCATCATGGTGACTCAGTTGATGTTACGGGAATCAGTAGTTGTAACTCATTAAGATGGGGATTATTCATGAATCACACTAAGTACATTTTTCTGGTTAAAAGGACTACAAATTTAAATAACGTCATTTGCGTCACTGCCATCGTAAGAAACTGGAATGATTTCTAGAAATTATTAATTTTAATTATGATTTCAAACAGCCACCGTCAGCGTGTGAACAATAATAAATAAGCTAACTAATTTCCCTAGTATTTCAAGTGTCACGGCTAATAATGCTACCCATTCGCCCGAACCGAAATAGGTAAAGCGAGCCTCGAACCTAGGACTTAGTGTATGTAAGTCGAACAACATAGCTAATATGCAACCCCCTTACTAATGTCAGTCAAAACTATTATGACAAAAAAAACATTTGGATGAGACCTACTTCGAATTTCTGTCTAAAGTCAAATTTAGAGAAAGATTTTGAGATCACGCTCAATTTTACCAAGTTATTACAAACCGGAAGTTAGAAAATTACACAGTCAATATCTCAATCAACTTATGTTGCTAGGCTTCAAATTGTCTCTTCCATTTCTCGAGTGAAAACTATACTTTATCAATGGTCGAGGTATTTCAAAACTCCCCCCTTCTCCATCTGTTATAATTGAATATGATAAAATAATTCCATGCAAGGATAAAGACAATGGTAGATGGGGATTTATTAAGCACCAAAGGTAAATAAAAACTGTCTCAATATACTGATCTTTATATTGATTAGTAGCCATATTTTGAATAAATTGAACTGAATAGCACTTACAAATTACGAATCTTCTGTATAAATACTATTTACAATATCAAAAGATTAAATTGCTACAGTCAACAAATACAACTAATTTCCTGAAATATATAATTACGCTTTTCTAGCAAATACAGTAGTCCATTTACTTATCAAGTAAATTACTAGCCGATAGACAAAGGACATATATGGGCTACATAATAGGCTATTTTCTAAGTTATGGATAATTTTAAATTTTACTGGAAGAATCTTACTTTATTTCCTATATCTAGAAAGTAATGTAAAGAGCTCTGTAATCTTACTTAATTTACAGGCGAAGCGATTGCTGTTCGGCTGTCCCAACTTCGTTTAATACCCCTTATGGAATTGGATAAAGAACTTCATCATCTAGCTTCGCAGGTAATAAATGTAAATATATTTTTATTGTACAATAAGAGGGGAGGAACGAATTAGCTTTTCCAGTATACAAGACAGTAAAATGATTAGTTTAAGGTCTAAACAACCTCAACCTAGTGTTTGTTTTTAATCTACAGAGAATATAAGTGACGCAAAGACCAATTCTATTAATAAAGATCCTTTGGCTCAAGAATTACCATTAAACGTGACGAACCAATAGTGAAAACAATACGCACGGAATCCCACTATCTTATTTCGATCGAGAACAGCGACCATGTTTGTAAATTATATCATGAAGATCACTTGGATTTTATCATAATATTATACAGAAATAATAAACTGTTTACTTAAGTATAGTTTTGTACAGAGACATACACTGAATAGAAGTCAATCACAGCGCCATTCATACTACTAATAGAGGGGTTAAATCCCTATATATAACATTCGATCTCAGTACTGATCTCGTAAGAGGCAAAATTCTAATGCCCCTTGGGACATGTTGTACGAACTGCCAAATACAAAGAAATTTGCCAGTAAATATGTATGTTTTTTTTCTATTTCTACAGAAAATTCTGACTTTCAGTCAGTTATTTCATGCTGAGTTGGCAAGTACCGGAACAATATCAATCGGCCTTTATCGAAGTGTTGAAGCTAGCAATAATATGGATGAATGTTTGTCATGTAAAAACATATACCTTGAAGCAAGTGGAAAAATCGAAAGATTTGTTTACACATTACCAGAACCTACAACTCCAATATACCCAAATGATATGGTAAGTATGAGGTGCGCGAAATTCTTGTATATTTGATACCCTGTAAATATCAAGGTCAAAGAAGTAATCGAAGTCATTTGTTGTTGATATAGAAAGTTCAAGAATGTACAAGCTTCCTAGTTGAATTCTACGGTATAACTAATGTTACAGATAGCAGACAAGGTCAAACGTTGTAGAATTAATTCATCTCAGTAGGACGGATCCACTTATTATCCACTTCTAAGTGCTGAAAATGGTGCCACTTAATACACTTTATTTGCTCGTTCTTCAACATCTTTTTGTTGATTACTAGTTTGAAGTCTGATAACAAGGAACGATAATCATTTGTATCGTGCCATACATTACCTACATTTTTTTGTGTATGTTGCTTCAAGCCACTTAGACAATAGGACATTGGGAACCTTATAAGAAACTTTATCAAGTCTATGAAACATTCTTGAGAAGATAACTATGAATGTGGTTCGAATACTAATTCTTAACATATCTTTTCCGTGGTAATAGAACTTTTTTCAACATAACCGTCAATTATACTTTAACCAAAGAGTAATACCATATGCTTAACGTGTGATAATTTCTCGCAATGGAATGTTTCTAAATTTCCTTTCTCAGTTCTATCACATCTTTGTCTGCGATGAAATCACGTAATAAACTGTAAACATTCAGATGAGCGTAAATTCATTATTCAGTATAAATTTAGCTTCCAAACTTAAATAAATTTGTTTTATTTTCGTGTACAGGTTTACTGCCTTACAGCGATGACTGAAAACCCAATGGTGGGGTAGAGGAGAAAAATATGCAACGAAATCATCCATTTTTTTATCCGCTTTTACTGAGATCACTTATCACGTTTGTTTCCATGACAGTTACCCTTGTTGATTGCTTGTAGTCATTTTTTGTGATTGAAGAGGAAAAATACAAGTATAATAAACTGTAATGTTATTTTTTAAGTTACTGACAAAAGTAGTACTGTAGTAAACACTATGTTACAGAAGTATTAACACAGAAGATATCAGTGTTATGTTTTGATAAGCTTTAAAAATTCAGCTCTCAACTTGTCCGCCTGTACAAGAAACTCCTGAAAAATATTTCGAAAGAACGAATCAAGAAATAAAGAGATAAAAGGGAAAACTACATTGGTTAATATACTTGAAAAACAAGTGAACACTAACAAATTTTTTTTATCATTTCATATGATTATTACTTTACAAAGCTTATATTTTGAGAACGGATTAACGCGAGAAATCCTTCGACAAAAAGGAAATAAAGTAAGGTTCGTTCGTCTTTTTGGTAGTATTGTCCATATATATAAGTACAATGAGTGAACTTAAAATTTATTGGACAGTATTAGCTCCAAGAGTCTGTGAAGTGAATTTGACTAAGGTCGTCTATAACAACGGAGTAAATTACCATCGAAAGTAATAATCGAACACATAATACTTGGAAATGTTTGTAAAGGTATGGCCGCTATATGAATTTCGAATATTCATTTGTAAGATGCTTACTTATGCTTCTACTGAAATATGTTTTAATGTGAACATTAGGTCTGCACTGCATTTTGTTGGTACGAAAGTTAATGTGAATAGATATCTCAATGTTTTCATACATAAGAAACCGAAAGTTCTTCAAAGTTTGAAGAGGAGCAACGTTTACATAAGCTGAGTTAACGCTACTACATGTGTGCCATTGACCATAACGACAACAAAGCATTTACTTTTTGGAATCACGGTTTAAAAAGGTATCAAGTTAAACATAAACCGCTTCGATAAAGATAAACGTTACCTTAAAACCTACTTGTATTGTGTCTACTAGCCTCTTACGACAAGCGCGTTCACTTTCGCAATTGTATGGCAACCGAACAGAGTCCAGAAGCTCAAGAGTACGCATGCACTGCTCCATAATGTCAATTGTAGACTTTACGTGTGCAGTTACCTCTAAACTATCAGAATTACTTTGAGATAACTAAATGTAGAAAGTAAACCAAAAATGCGTATGGATTATAACTTAAAATCTTTAACAAAACAAATAGTGACACATAGAATTTATAAAGATACAAATAGCTAACCAAAACAACAACCTATAAGCAGTTCGTATGTCCAGAGATTAACACCACCTGTAGCTCGTCTATGGCTAATGCCAGTCCCAAGCACGAATAAAGAAGGGTTGAACATGGGGTCAGCAACCACATCCCGTAGAAAAAAACTTTCTAAAATACGATAACCAGAATAAACAAATCAAAATGCTTAAGCTCTGCCCTCCGAGTTCAAGGAAGAATTAGGACGCCATGATAAAAACTGAGATTCTACGGAAGTCAAGAGGTCGAGGCCCCTTCTAGCAACCAGAACAACATTTAATATAGGTACATGGAACGTCCCGAAAATGTGGGACACTGTGAAGACCAGGCAAATAGATACGGAAATCAGGAGATATAACACGGTGGCCCTCGGAATATGTGAAACCCATTGGACCCAAGATGGACAGCAAAGGTTAGATACGAGAAAGATACTGCTGTACTCCAGTCACAAGTAAAAAAATGCTCCACACAGGCGGGGAGTTGCTCTGATGATTTCTGGAGAGGCACGAAATGCACTTGTAGGATGGAAATCTCATGGATCCAGAATCATCAAGGCATCATTCAAAACGAAGAAGGAGGGTATCACAATGAATATTATCCAATGTTATGCACCCACCAATTATAGCAATGACGACAATAAAGATCAGTTCTACGAGCGGCTGCAATCATAGCAAAGTGCTGAGAAATCGGCCTGACCATCCCAATGGGAGACCTAAACGCCAAAGTTGGGATGCAGAACACTGGATAAGATATCATGGGACAACATGGACTAGGAGAAAGGAACGAAAATAGGAAGAGATTTGCAAATCTATGTGTGTTCAACAAATTAACTATAGACGGCACAATATTCCCACACAAACTCATACACAAAGTTACGTGGATCTCACAGTGTCACACTACGGAGAACCGGATCGACCATATTTACATCAGTAAAACATTCAGTAGGTCAACGGACGACGTGAGAACCAGGAGAGGAGCTGATATAGCCTCAGATCACCACCGGGTTGTGTCCAAGAGGAAACTGAAGCTAAAGAAACACTTGAAAACTGGAGAAACATTAGTACAAAAGTCCAATACAGCCTTCCTATGAGATACTAACAAACTCAACCAATTTAAGATAACTCTCAACAACAGGTTCCAGGCCTTACAAGATCTACTCGAAGATGCGAAAACTACAATGGAGGAAAATTTGAAAAAGATCGAAAAACCCCTAACTTCAACGTATCAGGAGGTTCCGTGCCGCAACATCATCAAAAGGAATAGATCTCCATCGAAAACCCTGAATAAGAATCAAGACGGGTAGAACAAAAAGACAGAAATCAACAACAGCCAAATGAGGGCAGAGAAATTCAAGGCACAAGCTGAATACACAAAAGCAAATAAGTAAGTGAAGGAAAGCATTAGAGTCGACAAGCAGAAATACGTGGAAGTCCTGGCAATGCCAGCGGAAAAAGCTGCACGAGAAGGAAATATGTAACAGCTTTATAATACAAAGAAGAATTTAGCAGGGAGACATAGTAAACCAGAGAGACCGGTCAAAGACCAAGAAGGCAGATCAATCACTGAAATTCAAGAACAGCGGAACAGATGGGCAGAGTACTTTAAGGAACTCTTGAATAGACCAGCTCCATTGAATCCACCGGACATCGAAGCAACACACACAGATCTCCCTATAGATGTTGCTCCATCAACGATCGAAGAAATCAGGATGCCCATCAGATAAATCAATAGTGGGTAGGCAGCAGAATCTGGCAATATACCAGCCGAAGCACCGAAGTCAGACCAAACTAACTGCAAAGATGCTCCACGTTCTATTCAGGAAGGTTTGGGAGGAAGAACAAGTGCCAACGGGTTGGAAAGAAGAACAACTCAGCAAGATACTAAAGAAAGAAGATCTGGACAAATGTGAGAACTACAGAGACATCACACCATTGTTAGTACCAGGAAAAGTCCTCAACAGAGTGTTGCTGAATCGGATGGAAGACGCAGTAGACGCCCAAATTCGAGGTCAACAGGACGGACTCCGTAAGGATTGGTTGTGCACAGACCAAATCGCCACACTACGAATCACCGCTGAACAATCAGTTGAATGGAACTCGTCGCTATACATCAACTTCATTGATTATGAAAAAGCATTTGACAATGTGGATAGAACATCATGGAAACTTCTTCGGCACTATAGTGTGAATAGCTGAGATCATCAACATTATACGGAATCCATACGACGGACTACACTGCAATATAGTGCATGGACAGCTGACAGATACATTCTGAGTGAGGACCAGTGTCAGACAAGGTTGCTTACTCTCCCCCTTTCTTTTTTCCGGATGGTTGACCGGATTATGAAGACCTCGATATCTGAGAGGAAGCATGGAATATAATGGACAGCTCGGAATCAATTAGATTTGTAATTTACAGATGACCGAGTCCTTCTATTCCATACACAGTAACAAATGCAGATGAAGACAACCAGTGTACCAGAAGCCTCTGCATCAGTAGGCCTCAACATACACAAGGGAAAAAGCAAGATCCTCAAATACAACACAGAGAACACCAACCTACCCAATCACGCTTGATGGAGAAACGATGGAAGAGGTGGAAACTTTCACCTATCTGGGTAGCATCATCGATGAACGTGGAGGATATGATGCAGAAGTAAAGGCAAGGATTGGCAAAATAAGGACCGAGAAGCCTGGTGGTCGAAGCGTGCTAATGAGCTGGAAGCAGCAGCTGCGTCTGGTAACTACCGGAAGCTCTTCCAGCTCATACGAGCCACTGGCAGCAAGAAGTCTGGTGTGAGTGAAACAATCTGCGAGGATGATGGGATGCCAATCACTAACATCCATCGACGTCTTGGACGGTGGGCAGAATTTTTCGAAGGGCAGTTCAACTGGCCTGCTGCTCCGGCAACATCGGTCAGACTGTCCTGCCCTCCATGGCCGGTGACGACTGATCCACCGAATGAGGAGGAAGTCTGCAAGGAACTCCAACTCTTGAAGCGTTACAAATCACCTGGCCCAGATGACTTACCTCCGGCTCTTTTTAAAGATGGTGGTGACTTTTTGACTAAGGAATTGACGACGTTGTTTACAAAGGTTTGGGAACTAGAGAGTGTGCCAACGTCATGGAATGAGTCGATAGTTGTCCCTATCTTTAAAAAGGGTTCACGTCGTTCCTGTAACAACTATCGGGGGATAAGTTTACTTCCGATTGCGTCCAAGCTATTGGCTTCCGTCATACTTCGTAGGTTGTTCAAAACCCAAGATTGACTCGCGAGGAGCATGCTGGGTTTCGTTCTGGTCGAGGATGTATTGATCATATCTTCACCCTCCGCCAAATGTCAGAACATCGCCATACTTATCAAAGGCCAACAATCGTAGTGTTTCTTGACATCAGGGCTGCCTTCGATTCGTTGGACAGCACTGTTCTCTGGGATTGTCTATTGAAGAAGGGTGTGCCTGAGAAGTTTATTAACATTCTAAAAGCCCTATACACAAACACCTCAGGCAGAGTGAGGGCATACAACCACCTTTCTCCATTGTTCCATTCGAGTAGTGGGGTTAGGCAGGGTTGCCCAATCTCACCATTCCTCTTCAACTTTGCCATCGATGACATTCTGGAAACAGCTCTGATGAATGTAAGTAATGGCGGTGTGGATCTGTTGTCTAGAGAAAGACTTCTCGACCTTGAGTATGCGGATGATATTGTCTTACTGTGCGATAATGCCCAAGGCATGCAATCCGCACTTAATCAGTTGGCAATGAGTGTCCGTAGGTATGGTATGTGCTTTGCACCTTCGAAGTGCAAAGTACTCCTACAAGACTGGCAGGATTCCAATCCTGTACTCACCCTGGATGGTGAGCAGATAGAAGTAGTCGAGAAGTTCGTGTATCTGGGTAGCTGCATAAGTGCTGGTGGGGGTGTGAGTGATGAGATCAATGCACGAATAGTGAAAGCCAGAGCGGCTTATGCCAATCTGGGCCATCTATGGCGCCTTCGTGATGTTAGTCTGGCCGTAAAAGGTCGGATCTACAACGCGTCGGTGAGAGCAGTTTTGCTCTATGCTTGTGAAACCTGGCCTCTACGAGTTGAGGACGTTAGACGACTTTCTGTGTTCGATCATCGCTGTCTCCGAAGGATTGCTGACATTCAGTGGCAACACCATGTCAGTAATGCAGAGGTTCGGCATCGTGTGTTCGGGCACAGAGATGATAATTCAATTGGTGTCACCATCTTGAAACACCGACTTCGGTGGCTTGGACATGTTCTCCGAATGTCGTCCCAGAGGATTCCACGTCGTGCATTATTTGCCGACTCTGGGACTGGTCGGAAGAAGCGGAGAGGTGGTCAGTGCATGACATGGTGTCATGGCATGAAAGAAAGCTGCAAAGGACTGGCTTGTGTTGGTCCTTCACGACTCACTGGTTGGGGTCTGAGAGATGGTGCTACACAGTGGCTAGAGACGTTATCAGATATGGCTCAGAATAGAAGCCAGCGGTGATCCTGCTGTAACCTTCTTTTACTTTCTTCATAAAAAGTGGTTCTGTCTCCCTTACCTGAAAGATTTCTTCCGATTGTACCTTTCGTTCCCTGATTACTAGCACATTACCTTACACCAATCTCTTCGTTATTGTTCTCTCTTTTTTTTGTTGCGCTCCTTAGCTTTTTTTTCTTTCTTTGTATTCCTCTCGAATTTTCATTGTTTTGTGTGGCGCATATATATTGGCGCTCTCTTGTACCAATATTCATGTGTCCAAATAAATAAATAAATAAAAGGCAAGGAATGGCAAAATAAGGACAGCATCCCTACAGTTGAAGAACATATGGAACTCAAAACAACTGTTAACCAATATCAGTCAGAATCTTCAATACGAACGTGAAGACGGTTCTGCTGTATGGAGTTGAAATTTCAAGAACTAACACAATCATCATGAAAAATGTACAGGTATTCATAAACAATTATCGACATAAGATACTGAATGCCTGTTGACCGGATATCATCAGCAACAACATATTGTGGGGAGAACAAACCAACTTCCGGCTGAGGAAGAAATTAAGGAAAGACGATGGAAGTGGAGAGGATACGTATTGAGGAAATCATCAAACTACAATACGAAGCAAGCGCTAACCTGAAATCCTGAAGGGAAACGAGAAAAAGAGGAAGGCCAATGAACACTGAACTGAGAATTGGAAGCAGACATGAAAAGGCTCAATAGCAACTGGAAACAACTGCCCAGGACATAGTTTGGTGGAGAATGCTGATGGTCAGCCTATGCTTCTTCATGAAAGGTAACAGAAGTAAGTAAGCAAAAATCATTCAGGCATTAGTATATCAATTAGTCCCTTTTATAAATTTCGATAATGTAATTAGAAGACGAAGATTATATATATTAGCGCAATACATTTCGAACAATCTGATCACACATATGAATACAACAAATACAATCAGGTGACCCAATAGGAGCAGAGGATAAACATCCATCATCCTCTATTGCTAAACACATAATTGAAACAGGTCACAAGGTTGATCTAAACTCAGCTTTTGTGGTATTGTATAAAAGTGTAAAAGGGTGTATACTGAGGTTTATTGAAGCCTTAGCCATACGAAAACCTAAACCCCTTTTATGTGTTCAAAAACAGTTTGTTCTTACATTAAACCTACCCTGGTAATATTGACTTATTATTCAAAGTGATTAGGTTTCGAATTGTGTTCACATTATTATTATTATTGCTCTTATCATTATCCTTATCTCCTCTTACCCCGTTTCCAGTCTAGTTGACCTTTTATTTTTATATATAAATGCTCTTAGCAAGTATGTGTGTGATCAGACTGTTCGAAATGTATTGCGCAAATATATCACATAGTTCTGATAATCTTCGTCTTCTGATTACATTATCGAAATTAGTATATCAGTTTGATGAGGTTAACATTGTAGTTCATTGATCGGAATATGTATATATACATATATGACTCACTTTGGTGTCGATGTCGCGGCAATAGAGTTTCAAAATTTCCCAAAGATATATTTATAGATTTTGGTGAAAAACTGAACTGTTGAGAATTTCATGTTTCACTACATTTATAGTATTGAATAAAAACTATCATCAGAAGGATGGATAAAAAACGTTAAAGTAGGCAAGCCTCTGCAATGCACAGGTGTAGATGCTTAGAATCTTCAAATGTTGATCAATTTGCTTTACTTTGTAGGATGAAATTCTGTCTGCGCAAATTTGACTTCAGGCTCTTATCAGATGTTGGCTACGAACAGTTTATGAGAAATGAACTTCAGAATAAAAACCTATAGGTTCGCATGATTGAGAACTATAGTTCCCAATCATAATTCCCCAAGCGCTATGTAAGCTCGCAAATAATTTGATGTAACACAGGCTTGTATGGAATGAAAACTAGCTTTACCAATTGGAAATTTGAGAATGAACCAAATAAGGATTATGAACCAGAGTTCGACAAGGTAAAAAAAAGTGGGTAATAAAAGAGTAATTTACCTAACCGAATTTTTCAGTTTTTAAATAAACCAAAAATCCCATTTAATAAATACTTAGACTCTTACCCCCTCAATTTGTTCTAATACTTAGGGTTGAAATGTTTCTGACATAATCCCTAGAAAATGATAGTGGTTTATTCTGTAAGCATAGGTGAACATATTCCAACGATAATTACGAGCTGAAAATAGTACCGGTCGACTATTGGTGCAACCGGGTGAGAAGTCGCGATGAACAGTAGTACATAACACGCAATATAAACACCGAAATTATCTTCAAACATAGAAATAAAAACAGTTAACCGACCAAACTATTGCATTCTAGAAAATGGCTCTGGGGGTGAACACAATGCCTTTAAAAATCACTCAGGTAAATATTCAGGATCAAATAAACATGATTTGTAAATCTTTTGAGTTGAACTTACAATAGTATCTAGCTTGTTTGAGAGGTCTTTTAGTTGTAAATCGACTGCATCAGACGTGTCTTTTGCCTTGACAAGTTTTACGGCCTCATCTGGATTAAGTTTATCAACCTTTGGCGGAACAGACTGATTAAACTATTTGTACTGACTTACTGAACCAAGAATCATAACTCTAGACCCAGGAGTGAGACCGGATGAAGAAATTAATGCATCAGGATCAGTAAGAGATCTTCCTACAATATATCAAGTGGGTATGGTTGTAGTGTACCTTTGTATATTATTCTTTGTTTATCAAATGGAATGTGTAAAATAGAGTCTATTGACTTCATTAAGTCCAGTAATGTTGCATCGCTATTCAATGGTAAAGGGACCAAATACTTTTGACCCGCTAATCGGAATAAATAAAATTAGAAATCTCTTACCAAAAATCACATTGATGCTATGACCTGGGTCTGACATGTTAGTTTTATGTTAAACTTAATAATTACATTTGTTAGTGCAATAGCACTGCCATTCAAAAGCTCCGCAACCTCCACTCACGATTTCAATGCCAGAGATAAAAAACAAATAGCTCACAGTGTTTGATGCTGTTTACATTGATGTACATAACTGCTCAAACTTCCTAGAATAGAGCCTTTGACGGTCACACGGCTCACTTGGGGAAAGGAGTCTAAGCACCAAAATATTCCGAGGCTACTTCATGTAACACGCGGAACATACGTATATTGAAAGTGAAAACTCAACTGAAGCTCGGTTCTCCAACTCCATTTAGAATTTTGGATTGTACGAAAATGTGAAGTCGGCAACTCGTTGTAGAAACGGTCAGATAGCGTCGCGCTTATACTAGGTATTTACGAACGAAGAATTTCTAGTTGACAACCTCTCAATCCTGGCTCCTCTGAGGAAGAGCGATCACGATGTTATAGCCCTCTTTTTTTCAGCAAAACTGTGCCAAGATATCCCACCAACAACGGGCGCTGTAATTCTAAACGGTTAGATGTGTCAGCTCTACAGGACTATCTGTAACAGGTGGATTGGGATGTTCACCTTCAACTTGATGTGGATACTCATTGAGACTTCTTACTGCACATGCCCTCATGTGCTACAAAGCAGTCAGTTCCTCAAATGGCCTCCAAAAGCTTCAAGAAGCCTACAATCAATAAGAACCACACTCTTCGCCTGCTAAGCCGCAAAAGGCACAGTTGATAGAATGCAAACGAACTGACAATAACGGCGCGTACAGGCAACACAAACATACAAGGAATATATGCACGAAGGCTATAAGAGAAGACAGGCTTCAATACCAGATAAAGCTTATGGATAAATTTGTCTCCAATCCGAAAAGCTTATTCTGTTACGCAGCGGCTTTTCATCAAGCCAACACTGGGGTTCCCCAACTGCTAGGTCCCAATGGCCCTACCGATAACGACGACGACGCCGCTAACCTTTTGGCTGAACAATACTCCCTGACATTCCAGCCGACCCATATCAACTATACTGATGGCAGCTTCATCCGCAACTGCACAGGACTTTCCGAGGTGAACCTGAGCGCTGACTTGGTGTTCCGGAAACTGCAGCACCTAAGAAAAGACATTTCTCCTGGCTCAGATATGGTTTATTCTGTTATACTGAGGGAAGCAGCTTCAATCCTAGCAACACCGCTTAGGATGATATTCTCATATTCACTAAGCCGAGGCAAACTACCGGAACATTGGAAGCTGGCTCACACCACACCAATTTCCAAGGGTGGTCGACGCAGCGAATCTTCAAGTCACTGACTGGTGGCTCTTCTCTTCAAAAATCATGGAGTCCCTGATATGCGATGGTCCTTAAACTTCTTCTCACCATAACAACATGGTTTCAGGAAGGGTTATTCTTGTATAACTAACCTGCCGACTGCGGTGGACAGATGGGCAAGCATCCTTGATTGCAAGGGGAAGGTTGGTATCATTTACCTTGATTTCTCAAAAGCTTTTGGTAAGGTTAACTATATATGTCTGATTGATTGGCTCACTTCATATATGAAAAATCGACATTCTAAGGTCAGGGTTAACTTCACTTTATCTCAGGCTATGGAATGTCCTGGTGGGGACCTCAGGGCTCAGTACTAGGACCTTGATTTATATAAATGATCTTCCACAACAGGTATCGTCAGACTTATTACTTTTGCTGATTATGTGAAACTCTGGAGAGAGATACGCAACCAAGAGGATGTACAGGCAATTCAGGAGGATCTGACTCGACTTCAAAGTTTGGCAGATGACAACGGAATTACCTTTAACACTTCAAAGTGTAAAGTAGGCCATCTGCGGCATGTAGCAGGCTATAGTTACAACTTAATAAACTTCTCTCTAGTAGTATTCCGAGTCGAAAAAGATTTAGGAGTCCTGGTACCCTACGATTTGAAGTCTTACGCTAACTGTGACAAAAATGCCTTTCGAGCAAACCTTGCACTGGTGACATTGAGGCGCATTTTTGACCAGTTTGACGGAAGAACTTTCCATATAATCTTCATCAGTTTTATTTGTCCTTATTTAGAGTAAGGAAACATAGTATTCCCTCCCACACTTCAAAAGGATAAGGACACTCTGGAGCGTATCCAACGAATTCAGTTCGGGGACTCAAATTTAAACCATTTGAAGAGCGCCTCCAATCACTTAACCTTCACATATTAGAGTATAGGCATCTTAGAGGTGACATTCTGATGGCTTACAGTATCCTTGACACTTCTGGACATCCTCTTAAACACCTACTAAAGCTTAGTCCCAATACAAGTCTAAGGGGTGACACCCAGAAATTGGAGATACAACATAGCAGAACGAACTGTAGACACAACTTCTACTCCTTAAGAGTTGTCAAAGGCTGGAATTCGCTGCCTACTGAACTAGTCCAGGCGACTTCCCAGGAGTCCTTTAAGAGGAAACTTGACCTATTCTTAAGGACTATGGATAACATCTTATTATGAGTTACCAATTTATTTTTCTCTGATCTATTATAGTTAATATATTTAGGTTCCTGCCTGGAGATATTGATGATTCCCTGCCACTAGAAACAGAAGTGTGTTGAGCAAAAGCTTCTTTTATTCTGTCCACAACCATTTGAACTATCTGAACCATTTTAATGACTTACTTGAAGGTCGATGTTCGCTCGTCTCAAAATTTCCGCTACGACAAGGTGTGTTTGCTTTCTCTGCAACTACTTCAGAAGTGTTATTGAAGCATTTTTCGAATTAAAAGACTCACACTTTTGAATGTATAGTAGCATGTGGATATTTATGGTATTGTTTATATAGTTTTCGTTATTGAGGTGAGTAGATCTAGTGTCAAGAGATGTTTCTGCATATACAATATCGGTGGGACTATTACTTATGGGCGACGTTTAAGAAAGGCTAAAGTGAGCTTGAAAAAGTTCACCAACTTACTCAGTTCATTAGATGGTTGTCAGTTAGTTAAGGAATTAGTATTAGGGCTACAGTAATAAGAATAGGAGGCTTATTGACCTGTATTAATCCTTTCAATTTGTAACACTGTGAATGTATTACCGGGTGCTGATATCACGTGTTTTGGTAGAGGATCTCGGTAGTTCACTACTCGTTAGAGAAACGAAACTCCAGACGTAGACTATGTAATCTCGGTTTTTGAAATTTCTTAGAATGTCCTCTCAAATGATCAGTCCTGGACGGAAGGAAGGAATAAGACATTAATACCAAAGTCATCGTTCAGTATGCAGTAAGCCAATATTAGATCACCCTATATTCTACGGTAAGATAACAAGAATAAGTTGAGGTGTCTCAGTCTGTCTTCATAATATAGGTCAGATAGACCTTTTACCACTTTAGTCTCTTGTCGTTAGACGCGTTCCAGCATATCTGCCTCATACATGAAACAAGGACTTGCTGCTCGAATCCCATATTCCAAAACAGGTCTCACGAATATCGGTTATAATATTATAAAGGTTTCGGCGAGACTCTAACTTATGGACGACCTTTGAACGAATTTTAAGTGACCTAGAGAATATTAGTCAATCAGCGAACAGTAGGTATTGAGCGAAAATATATTATACAAAACCAAGGAAATATAGTGGATACACTTCTTATACGTGGTTCAAAAACTTGTTAAGGTTAGAAAGAGGTTCTAAAATCGTAATGCATGCAGTAGAGGAAATCATTCATACGGCTACAGAATAGTCGACCTCTGGAGCCATGATAAATTCTCGAAAACTCTTTCAGCCTCGACCACATAGGTTCAATATTGTTTATGTGCACTTCGGTTGTTGATTACACAAAATGCTACTTGTGGATAACGACGCGATGCACATAGCCAAGCCTATGTAGGAGTCTGTAGGCTCTCCAATCATCCGTATATATTGTAGTACCTGGCTGCAGCCAGTGTTACTGGTACTTTTATTATCCAGTTCGCGATAATTGTCATAGTTTGCCTCAGTTAGGAATTATATATAGGGTTTTCATCACGAACTGACATCAGCCTTAATGCCAGAAATCTATTTAGCCAAATGGATAAAAGGCTTTCGGGCCCGAATCCGAGATCTATTATCTTATACCTGATTGGTTCGTCCACAAATTATAGTCTCGCCGTTCTATTTATTATAGCCGCTAAATTATCACGTTTTGTATAAAATCCCCTGTAAAACGATCGTACGTTAGCATTAGGCACTGAAGTTGGCGCCGTAAACTTGAGATCTCTAAAACGCTTCTGATTGGCTCATCCATAAATTAGAGTCTCGCCCAGCTGACTAACAAGGCAAACTAGTCAATCCGTAACTGCCCGTTCATTGCAGACGGCTAAACGTTTGCACAGTCACTATCCAGTGATTAAAGCTAGTCCTACTCGTTATCCAAAGCGTGAATGGGCTCCAACATGTATCTGCACCACGTGGATTCAATTATGAGCCTTTTAACTCCATCCTTAATGTATCAATTTGGTACTGAAGTTATCATGATTGTTGGCACCAGACCTTCCATCCAGTTGATCTTCAATGAAGGAATTAAATTGTTTTCATTTGAATTATAGAGCCTCAACGGAGTCTTGGATCTATACTTTTCGTAAATAGACCCACCGTACCTTGGGTTCTTTTCCTGTGATCGGACTTTGCTCATTGTCATTATGGTTGCCAGATCACTTATCAACAGTGCAGTAGGGTAAACATTTGAAAAATTCGTCCACGAAACAAGATAAAGTGGGATCGGGAAACATTCAGTCATCACTGAATATAACAAGTACATATGAATCCTCACCATTTGATACAGTTTAAATACATTTTCCTCTTCTTTCGTGGGTCACGGAATAATGGTATTTGTTAGCTGTAGGATCGTTACATTTTCCTACAGTGTTTATGATCTAAGGGGCTTTAGCTAACTCGATTAGTCGCTCGTAGAATCACCGCATTAAGGTATCCACTTGTAAATACATGTATTGATCAGTGGGATAACTATATAAATACTGGCAAGATAAATCTTCATTCACCATTAAATATATGTATGTATCCTGTGTTGGGGTCATCGACCGTCATATTGGTTTTCAGAGAACTGAACACGATCCAGGCGTTTTGTAGCCTTAATAGTACAGGTTCATCCTGCTTCGCGACTACATAAACACTAAAAACTGATGTATTATTTCTGACCTACTTCGCTTACACAACTGTTTCACTCATTATTTTGTGATAGTGATGTGTATTATGTACGAGGGACACGGGGAGATAAAAAAACGTAGAAAGCAACCACCAATGTCTACTATTTAAATTGACCAACAAGCCAATTTAGCATATGAGTGACCACTGAAATCTGTCTGGACAATTACAAACCATTAGCAGTATCACTAGTAGACGTTCGAATACATAGGGGACCTTAAGTTCTTCCTATTAATATAGCTCACGCGGTACAATAGGCCATTAGTGTTCCACAAAGCAGTGTAACTTAAAACACTAAGGCTCAAACACATCTCATGCCAAGATGCCATTAGTATGTCCCCAATCAGTCGTATTGAATTTCTGGAATTTTCAGTTTATGCGTTTCTTTAAGACTTAGTTTCATGCATCAGTAACGCTTTGAAAAGATCTATGATCAAAGTTTATTGGCTGTCACAGGGGTACCGCAGTAGAAAGCCAACTATTATCAAAATAATTACCACTTGACAAACACAAATATCCTATTTGCACCCCTAACCAATCTTATGTATCTATGCTAAAATTTATTCAATCGCCAACTTACCAGAGCTGATAGCACCCCAAAGACAAGTAATGAATCAGCTCGCTCAACTATCTGGTTGCTTGTAATCGGGCTAGGCATTGATGCAGACTGGTATTGCAGCTATATTTCATGTTTAAAAGAACAGGAACGCATTCAAATAGTTTTTGCACCCTTATTCAAAGCATTTGAGAGACTCAATGTTCTACCAATCTCTTTATTAAGTAATACTATATCATCTAGATCTCTTAGCTTATGAGGATTCTAAAAGCATATCTGTAAAAATGCTAACGGTAAATGGTGGAAATCCATATTCCTGACAAGTATTACTTGATACAACTAGTTTGGATTATAGTACTTCGGAAGCTTTGATTCGGTCGACACTATCGAGATTAAGCCTTTAGTCAGTTTATGTACTTCTTTGGTGCGCCTTTCAGTAATAGCTGATTTCATGAAATCTCTTGGATGCTAGTTGAATTTTCCAATTTTTCGAAGACTAGGGGATGGAGTCCCTATCTCCGGGACTGTAGCTCCTGGAACATTGACTTGAATTATGTTCAAAGAAAATTTAGGTTTAATAGTTTGAATTTTTTGTGTAAATATTATCCTTTATTTTGGGGTTATTGCTTTCAAGTGAATGTAAACAAGGCTGCTTAACTTATTTCTGTAAAACGTCACTCAGTAATTCTCAAGCTGGTAGAGTATAAAATTTTATACCTTTAGATTGCATCGAAATACAGCAGTTATATGTATGCTTATTAAGTCGTTATCTCGAAGGAAATAACCCTAAGGTTTATCACCTCACAGACTAATACACCGAAAGTTTTTGTCTTTATTTAGTGAAAAAGTAGAAAAATCCAGCATTTTAGAAAGCTGGCCACATATTTTCAGTTATCATACTTTTCATATTCTAATATAAAATATTATAACAGTAGGATTCCTGAGTAGTTCGAAAAAGAATTTGCTGAAGATATTTCAGAAATCCATCAGGCAGAAATACCGTGGCATTCATGTTGTGTTGGGTGGATATACACTCCTTCCTAGATAGAGAAGATTTTCCTGTTACCATTTCAGATTTTCACTTTTTGATCGTGGATTATTTGCTGCATAGTGTCTGTCAAAGAATAGGGACTAATCTGCCACTTGAATTTTCGTATTTATTATGTTGATCTTTAGATTTGCTTCTTTAATTAGTTACCAGCCTAAAGTTTTTAAATATCCCCTACTTTGCCCATTTTAGATCAAGTTGCCATTGTATATTATTACTGCAAACACAGACCAAGCTAAATGATGATGAATGAACCACTGGTAATTAAAGGACTAACCGGTAGGCTTGAAATGATGTCTACTTTTGTTAAACCAGCAATTCTTTAGTTATTTACTGGGGCTTTTTAAATTCGGTCCATCTCGTTATTCACGAAAGTGTCTGACAAAATAAACCTTTTATTTTATTTGGTTAGGTTGTTTTCATAATTAAGTGTAAATAAAGATATTTCAGTGTTGTGCACACTGCTTTCCATCATATTACGGATTGTCATCTCACTTTACGTAGGATTTAGTAAATTTGCTAGTACCATCATTTTTTTGCGACATTGATGCGGCTTATATTGTCGCACATCAACCTGTTGATAATTAGTAAATCCAAAATGTCTTTCAAATTCATTGAGAACGTGTTTCGTATTTCAATAGACAAATACAAGTGTCCAGCTTTTTATTTCGAATCTCTAGATATACAAGGATTGTAGGATCATTTGAGTGAAATATTCAATATATGTATAGACCAGTCGCTACTGATTATGTATAAACCTTTAACAAATCAGTTTTACACAATAGTATATTCGTTTATTTCAAATAATTGTAGCGATTCCTGTGAGTTTGGGTAAATGTATTACTCACTTTATGTATGCAGAAAAATTGGGGAAAAAATCTGTTCTAATTTACAATGTACATCCTTTAATGGACGCGGTAATTGTTTGATAATTTATTTCAAACTGTATAGAAGTCATTGTTGAATTTCTTTAAATTATTTGGTGAAATAACTAGTTTACGCTACTCACCAGTAGGTTTTTGCTATTATTTTGTCTGGTTAACTTTTGGAAATTCATTAGCCTGAAGCTCGATGTGTCTTTGAATTCGACAAATCAGAATGTGTAGAAAAAATTCTAGTATCTCCAATGAATACAACTCACGAGTTCGAATTGACCGATGTTAACATTCCTGGTATGTTAGAATTATGTCCTAGGTTATTTTCATTATAACAGAATGCTATTTATCTCGGAATCCCGAATGGATAATAGATTATCAAAAGGCTAAAAGTGATTCGGAAGCGATTCTACAGAATTATTTCAAGAAACGTATGGAATACAGTAACAAACCTGATGATGACGGTTGGATCACGGTCAGAAAAGGAACGAGACTTTAATTCGGACTATATTTTTACTTCTGCTTCTGTAAATTTGGTTCAAATTTGTACAATAAATAGTATTTCATCATGAAGTTCATTTATGTTTACTTACTTTCAGTCATTTATAATTTTAGATTTATGTCTTCACGAATTTTCTCTGCTTTTATTGTTAAGACAATGCAGTAAATGGAAGAATTGGTAGTTCGTACCACAAAACAGTAACCTCCAATTATTATTTGTCTTAAAACTTTGAGTATTATAGAAATAAACTGAGTTCGGACGTATCTTGTGCAAGATAATCAATTTATTACTATTATAACTTTAATAGTTTAATTTTAGTGATATTAATCCAAAACCTATAGTATAGTAACTATTCATTAAGACGAACACAATTCTAGGATAGTGTTGGGTTATAAAATGTCACCGGGAAATGAAGTCGAATAGAGCGGACAACAGGCAAATAATTTGCATATTCAGTTGATCTTTGCCAGTAACTAGACTTTGTTATTAGCTGATAATTTACTGATACATAGTTTGGGTCGCACAGTTGATGAATAATCATTAAAGTATCAGTAATTTGAGTAAATGATTGACTGTTTACGTCAAATTGCCATGAACCTCTACATCAAGTTGCATTATTCACACTAGTAAGCGTTTTTTGAAGAGCTGTCCAATGTGGTGGTGGTGATGGTGAATATCCCTTTCAAAACTCATCTTAATAGTTAGATAGGATATATGAGTGAAATTTAGCATCAGTATGATCCTGTCTCAACTAACCAACAAGCATCGAAAGATTCCATGTTATTTGAATTCGAATAACAAGTTATTGTTCACTATTCAGAAGTATATGCGAATTTTAGATCTCCATCGGTCTATTCTATCTTAATATCTATTGTGTTCTATTTCCGGTCTGTGGTCTATAATTTATCTACTAACCCTACAGTCCTAAGGTTAGATTAAGGTCGCTGATTTCGTGAAATAATTCCATTTCTTGTTTCCATCAATTTGAGCTCATTCAATAACGATAGTATTGTCTCGAATCTAGCAACAATAATCACAATGTGATTACAGATCTTTTGAAAGCGTGAACAAATATATTTACATTAATTGAAGAATTTTATAATAACAATCTATGGATTTGCTTATTTATGTTAAAAATATCCCTCTTGTAAACGTAATGGACATTTGGCGTTTTTTCAGAACGTATCAATATTTGTCTACAATTAATTTTCTAGGATTCGTTATTTTTAGCCTTAAGGGTGGCTAACAATCTGGTTAGAACTTTAATCTAGTATCAATCACTCTAAGGGTCACAAATTTTTTTGACATGCAAAATGATACTTGTTGTCTTTTTTGGACTAATGACATTTTCTTACGAAGAGAAAATTAATAGCATGATTTATTTAATCGGATCACTTTAAAACTTAACCGTCTTGAACCGGTAGGGAGAGAGAGAGAAAGGTAATAAGGATCATAACACATTACGATCAGAAATGATAAGTGTTATTGAATATAGACTTGATATTGTTCGTTAAATCCTAGTAGCGAAATCCACCACTCGGCAGCCGAATATACTTCCATTTTAATAACTTGTTTTTATATATAAAACGGGGACCAATTACTTCGAAGGCCATTCGACTTCGAGGTTACAATAGCTACATCTTATCCAACATGTTTCAACCCCTTGTACTAACAGTATACTTCAAAAAGTGAGACCGAGGTGCATTATAGATGTTTGTGTGCTTTTCTAATAATCACATACGAAATACAATGCATTATTATATATATTAGCTTTATGAATAAATTTTACTAGTTTGATAACAGGATTTACTCATTATAGGCTTAGTGTGTAATCATTGCACTAACCACTGATTTCCGATCTGCTTAAACCAGATGACTAATACTTTTTCTTATCAAAAGTACGAAAGACGGTTGATAATTTATTATTAATTCATTCTCTGAGAAGTGAAACAAGAAATTACCTAAGTTAATTTCAACTGTATTCATCAACCGGTTCTTTTCATCATTGTATAAAACACTATTTTGGTTTGGGTTAATCTGTTTCAAGTAGATAAAAAACATTCATTGGAAACGTATTGTTGGAAGAATTTCACGTAAATGAGAACTGCCAACTATGCTTGCCATGCTTTCATTTTACTTAGAAAATTACTTAAAATGTTTAGTGTAATGCTATACCTATAAATGGGTTATATCTTGAAGTAAAAAAGAAACCTATTCTGTAATGCTTATGCACTGATGTTGGCCAGTACTTCATCTTTATTTTGTTATAAATACTGGAGCGGCGGTTGAGCTATTAAGACACTTAACTTTCAACTAACAGGTTGCGGTTTTAAGTCCCCTTTTATTTTCGATATGGATAGTCGGATTGTATTAATAACCTTCATACAAACATTTCAACTCAAGGTCGACTAAATAAGCACGTACTTGACAAGTTGAATTGACATCAACGGGTTATTTTCACAATCATGTTGGTTATTGAATGTTTACACTTGTTATGGAATTCCTTTTTCAGCTCTTGTTAATCAAAGTTAAATAATGTCGTATAAAGTATCAGTAGAAAGTAGGTAACGTTGTACCAATCTATTAATAATTACGAACGTTTGTTAATATTTGACACTGAAAGAAATTACACTTCAACAAATTGTTGGCTACTGCGATTCATTCGTCTAACTCATAACCCTCTGATATTTAAAAGTAACAAACACTAACTTTGAGTTTCTGTATGAAGATCAGTACTGATATACAGTGAGATCCATTTAACAAATCTCATATAAGGTGAAAAGTATCTAGATTTTTACTGTCAGACCTTATAAAAAGTGAAATTGTTTTGTCTTAACGGTAATTCTTCTAAATGAACGCTCGACCCGATTTTCTAACCGCTTGTAGTAACCCCAGAACGAATCTACACGGCAACATGAGCACAAGAGAAAAGGCACGAATACTGGTGATAAGGATTAATTTAACTCTTCAAGTAAATTGAAATAATTTAGGAATAAATCATATTTTATATGATTTATTTACAATGAGATTAAGAGTTAGATTTGTATAAATTGATTTGAGTTGTAATTAACAATAATACTGTGTGAACACATTTACTGTATTATACAATGATGCATCTATAATCCTTCTTAAGACGTGACTACAGATATCACAAACGATTGAAGAAAAATCAGTTTCATATGTCGTTTTCACTCCAATTGATTAAACAATTACGTTCCATATCACTTAGTTTCAAGTTTACCATACTAATATGAATATCCATTTAGCCTGTAACTGCGAAGAATTAGTGTTTAGGAAAAACTACCACTGTTGGTATACATTTTAAGAAATCTCAGTCAGTAGTCTTGAGTGCTGTTAGAGGTATGAGGGCAGTTATCACTCTCCGGTTTCCCACACCGTGGAAGGGGTCTTCTGGAGGTACCTGAGGAGGAAATTGGATTAGAGGTGATTTTAATGACCTGAGAGTGTGACCGCAATACCCAAGGGACATGTACTTGAGGTCGGTAATACACGACCGTTTTGTGAGTAATGTTCGTGTCATTTTCATTCATTACTTGTTGGGACCTTACCACCGGAGACGGATGTTCGTGGGATAAGGCGAGTTGTGCGTTTTTAGCGTCGACCTTTTCTAACCCCGCCCCTCCTTTATGGGAAAGCAGCATCGCTGTTATGCTGGTTGTCTGAAGGAAACACCTTACTGCTGTCACATCTCTGTACGGTCAGCAGTGTGACTTCGCCTTCGTACCTTGGGTTTACTGGTTTTAGTGTTACCGTTCTTCAACCGACCTGTCTGGTATGGTAGGACCTTGCGGAACGATTGTTCCAGCCAGTATAGCTCGATCGGTTCATCACGATAGTCAGGCCCGACCACCACGTCAAGGTAGCAACAACGGTCGGGTTTAAGAAACCTGAAATACAGTAAAGAATGGAATTAATTATTTGTAACAATTGGTCCGACTACATGATAAATTGTCCATTAAATTGGTTCCGACTACGTGATAACATGAATAGAAATCCAGAGTAAGAGAATTTCTACCTTACTGGTCGATGACCTAAAATGTTGATTTCTGCTCCAGCCAATACCTATCAGGAAATTGTCTTCTCGGTTTTTCACAGGAATTTATTATGTATTTTTAATAACCAACAACAATAAGAAATTAAATATATATATTTTCTTTCATAAGATTATATACATTAACACAACTTTTAAACTGTACAGTACGGTTGGTGTTGTTAAACATTTTTATTTAATGTTGATTCGCAGAAGTTAGTAATTATATATATATATATATAGAGAGAGAGAGATCTGTTAATATTCTAATCCATGAAGGGGCGTGTTCCTTATATGTCTGTGCATAAGTGAATTGAAAGTGTTTGTAATGAAATTATACATTGTACCATTTCCGCCATACATTAGTAATAATGTACTATTTCTCCTATTTATTCTCTGACAAGAAAATACAGTGACAATGAGGTCAATGGTAATGGGGAAATATATATATATATTGACTGATATCCATTTTACTCTTGAATTATTTTGTAGAGAAAATCTTATTGAAAGTTGTGTTGTACAGAGAAATCAATTAAAATTTCATTTTTGGTCAATATGATTGTGAATTAATTAAAATTGTTAAGCCCATCTTTTGATATTTTGGTTAACATTAAATTAGATAATGTATTAGACTGTCCTGCTATTGTTGTATCAATATCGTCAGTACTATTAGTAATAGTAGTAGTACCGGTGATACAAAGAAAATCCCTCGAATCCATACTTGAGGAATTTTGATTGATTAAATTTGGTGGTATCGTGAAAATTTCGTTTGAATTTTTTATTTTATTCCTTAACAAACCAGATGAAGTCGTCGTGGAAACTAGATTAAATTCACATGTTGAAGATTTTTCATTTTGTTCATGTTGATGCATACTTTCGAGTTGTTTTGTGAGTAAGGAATCTGGAACAAGGAGATAGACTTGATAGATTTACACAAAACAACCTA